GGAGACGAGCAGCGCGGATCCAGTCGATCAACACCTCAGTGACCTCATCCTTGCGGCGCAAGGGGAAGACTGTGGTGTAACGCGAGTAGTCGTCAACCACCAGCAGGAAGTAACGCTCGTGACCCTGTCCACGGACGCGGGCTGGGCCCCACACGTCCATGTGAAGAGTCTGCAGCGGAGCCTCTGTCGGCGGAAACTCGGAGGAGTGAGGAGCGGCGCGCTGCCGCCCCTCGACGCAGGGAACGCAGGTAGGGGCAGGCCCCGGAGGAAGGGGAGGGAGAGACCGGGGGAGACCAGAGACAAGGACACGGGAGGCCATGCCTCGGAGACGAGGCAGGGAGGGGTGACCAAGGCGGTGGTGCCAGAGAAGAGTCTCGTGGGACAGGAGGCGACACGAACAGGGGGCAGACTCAGGACCAGACCGAGACGCTGCAGCAAACACCTGACCAGACGCAGCTACCTGACCAAGAAAAGTAACCGGGGGAGACTCAGTAGTGAGTGTGTACAGGCTCGACCCCGGCCGACGAGTAAACGTGGCCAAGTGTCGGCCCGTGTCAGCACACGTGCAGTGGGTCACCCGCTGACGCGCAGGAGTGAACTGGTCAACTCCCCCATCCTGTAGGTCAGCACCTGCCACCAAGTTCGTAGAGAACGAGGGGAGGTAAAGACCGGACAGGGAGCCAGACGGGACCGCTGGACACGGCAGAACAGTGGAGTAGTGAGCAAGGACAGGACCCTCAGAGGGGTCTGCCAGGGAGACCGCAACCGGCCGACTGAGCGGCGTGAGAGTGGTGCAGTCGCGAAAGAAGGAGCGGGAAGCACCCGAGTCAAGGGTGAAAGTGTGCGACGCCTGAGCAGACGTGGTACCTGAGAGAGCAGACTCACTAGCACCTGGAGCAGCAGACTCACTAGCACCTGGAGCAGCAGACTCGCTAGCACCTGGAGCAGCAGACTCAGTGGCACCTAGAGCAGCAGCTGCACCGCCCGGGTCGGGCGGAACACTCAGGTAACAGTCACCGTCATCACTAGTAGACATAACATACATGGCAGCAAGGATAGCATCATAGTCAAGATCAAAGATAGCAACGCCCGACCTAAGCAGATCATGCCAGCGAGGGAGCTCAGTGGCGTCAGGGAACCGGAGACGCCAGGCGTCTGTCAGGCGACCGAAGCAGCGCTGAGTGGTGTGCGAGCCTCCACACTGCTCCCCAGTGCGGTCACCAGTACGGAAGAAGTACGTACAGGGACCAGCACCCCCAGGCCGCTGACGCCCAGCGTACCACTGGTGAAGCTGCTGGGGCGGCGGGGCCTCACGAGAGCGCTGCTGCTGCGGACGCTGTCCACCACCGGAGCCCCTCTTCTGCACCTACAGAGCCACCCCGACCAGCGCCACCGCCACCACCGCCACTGCCTCCTCCGCTGCCACCGCCGCCACCGCCACCTCCCCCAGCCCCACCGCCGCCGCTGCCGCTGTCCCCGCCTCCACCGCCGCCACCAGAGCCCCCACCCCCGCCCCCACTGCCACCTCCACCCCCCCCCCCCGGCCGCCCCCACCGCCACCACCACCACCCCCGCCAGCTCCTCCACCACCCTTGCCTCCCTTGCCCTTGCTGTTGCGGCGCCTCCCGCTAGGGGCAGACGCAGCGCCGACCGACTCAGTGCCAAGGAGGTCGACAGCAGCAGCAGAGGCAACAGAGGGCAAAAGGGGAACAGGGGAGCACCCCTCAAAGATAGGGGTACGAGGGTCACCACGAGAGGCTCCTACAGCGACTATGCTCTGCTCAGCTGCAAGGAGCTCCTTCTCGAGGAGGTCAACGGTGAGAGTGGTGGGGCAGAGAGCTAGGAAGTGGTCCCTGACTGAGCGAAGGGAGTCAGGGAGGCGGGTGACTAGGTAGTAGAGGGTGATATACATGGGGGGGGGGGGGGGGGTTCTTGGCGCAGAACTCAGCAGGAAGCGCAGCGCGGTAGCGAGTGTCACTAGTGCGGAGGTGTGTAATGAGGTCAGCGACTGTAGCAAAGGCGGCGAGGTCAGGGAAAAGGTAGGGGAGCATGATGCGGCTAAGGGCAGCAGAGGCAGGGAGGAGTAGCGCGCGACGACAGCATCAAACAGGGCCTTAGCGGTCTTAAACTGAGTGAAGTGCGCACGCTCAGCAGACGGCAGGTGACTACGCACAGCAAGGCGGGCAGCAGCATCGCGAGTGTTCCAGCGAGAGCGCACAGTAGCATCAGCATCAGCAGCAGGTTGGGGGGAAGCACCAGACGTGAGGTCATGCAGCGAGACATCGTCTTTGCTATCACACTGCAGGAAAAGCTGTAAGTCGTCAAGCCAGACCTCGAAGTCTATCGCTCGCCCCTCAGCATCGAAGGTAAGCACAGCAGGGCTAGCCATGGCAGCAGGCGGCGCAGGCTAGCAGCAGCAGAGGAAGCAAGTGGGGCGCGACCCGGCGATGCGCTTATCAGGGGCGGGCTAGAGAAGCCCAAAAGTGGTGAGGCAGGGCCGAGGCGCTCGAGCAAGGGCAGGGCCGCTACAGGGCAGCAGAACAGGGCCGGGACGGCGGCGGTGGCTCCGACGAACAGCGGCGGCGGCGGCTGTCACTGTAGCGGCGGCGGCTGTCACTGCAGCGGCGGCAGCGGCTGTCCCAGCAATAGTAGGGGTAGCTGGTACAACAGGAGCGGCGGCGGCGGCTGTCACGACAAAGGCGGCGGCTGCTGTCGTAGGTGCAGCAGCGGCAGGTGTCACGGCAAGAGCAGCGGCGGCTGGCACAGCAGCAGTGGCGGCGGTCGTCACGGCAGGAGCGGCGACGGCCGATGCGCGAGCGACAGTGGCTGCAGGTGCGGCGGCAGGTGCTGCTGAGGCGGCGGCAAGGCGGCAGGGCGGCGGCAGCTGGTCGCGACGAGCTGCGGAGGAGGCCACGCCGGGGCCGCGAAGAGCGGCGGAGGGGCCGCGGAGGGGCCGTGAGGGAGCCGTGACGGGGCCGCGAAGGGGCCCGAATCAGCCGGGAGAGGGCCGCGAAGGGCCTCGTAGGGGCCGCGACGAGCGGCGTAAGGGTCGCAAGGGGCCGCGAAGGGGTCGCGTGGCGCCGCGAAGGGGGGGCCACGGGGCGCCGCGAAGAGGGGCCGCGAAGGGCCTTTAAGGGGCCGCAAAAGGGCCTTAGAGGGGGCCGCGAAAAACCTTAACGGGGCAGGCCTCTAAGAGGCCGCGATATTTTCGGGCAGGGCACGAAGCGCGCGCCGGGCAGCTAAAACAAAAGTCAAGAAAAGGTGGGCCCTTGGTAGGAATTTACGCTCTGATACCATGTGAGAGTCGAGTGAAATTGAGCACTAGGGAAGAGCGAGGGGTACAAGAAACAACCCTATACCCTCTAGTATCAAATCCACTACAGCCTATCTAAACAATATTATATATGTTTGACACTACTATGTGTATTTGAACATTGGCTACTCGAATATGCAATAAAATTCAGGTTGTTGAATGCTTTTCCCTACGCCTATAGGGATTCACGCGCTTTCTAGGCACTTGGCGGCAAAAACGGCTGAAATCGTAGGCGCCGAACTTTTCTTCGTCTATGAATCAAGCCGAAAAGGCTCTAGTATGTGTATTTGAACATGTGCCACTCGAATATGCACTAAAAATCAGGTTGTTGAATGTTTTCCCTACGCCTATAGAAATTCACGTGCTTTCTAGGCACTTGGCGGCAAAAACGGCCGAAATCGTAGGCGCCGAACTTTTCTTCGCGCAAGAACCAAGCCGAAAAGGCTCTAGTATGTGTATTTCAACATGGGCTACTTGAATATGCAATAAATTTCAGGTTGTTGAATGCTTTTCCCTACGCCTATAGGAGATGAATCCATCATATTCATTACTGTAGAGGCTGCTCCTAGCGAGGACCACCCGAACCACAACCACATTCCGAGTCGCCCCGCACCAATCGCGACACATCCAACCCTCGCACGTCACGAGGTTCTTGCCTAGGATGCTCGCCTCTTTCATGATCTCGTTATGGTGTAATCACATCCTTTTTATTATAAAGTCTTCCCGCGCAATCTGTTTAGTGCAAATAACGCTGCTTGGCAGCACCATTAGAGAAATATAACGAAACCAGCACCGAATGGCGCATTGCCCTCAGGTCAGGTGGGTCACACCACAAAGTACCAAATCGATCGAAAACGCACACGATCGCACAGAAACGAATGAAATCAAAGCAGGCTATGCTGTTGGTCCTGCCCCTCTTCCCACCTTCTGCCTTCCACCAGGCCCTTTTACTCCCCGCCAGTTCGTCCCCTCTCATTCTGCTCGTGTTTCTAGCAGTGCGCGGTAGCAGTGCGCGTGCCCTTGTCGATTGCCATTGTTGTGTCGTCGTATTTTTCGGTATTTCGGGCAGATGTTGTTCGCTCGCGTGGCACGCGAGTCCGCTAGTTGCGTTGAGATGTAAGCTGCGAGAAATCCAGAATCGCCGCTTTCGTGCGAGCCAGCAACAGAAGCAGCAGCAGCAGCCACTATCAGTTTATTTAGTCGATGGGAGCTGGAGAGAAGTTTCCAATCTCTTCCCACTTCCTTGCGCTCAGATTCGGGTGGTCGCGAATTGGTCGACCCTGCTTAGATTCGGTCCCCTCGCAACTCCGTCGTTAGAAGGGCGTAGAATTGCTCAAATCCCGGGCGGGCGAGTTCGTGGACGGAACACGTGTCAAGATGCAACGGGACATGAAGTTCATCCGGCGCTTCCTCCCCAAAATCCTAGTTTTGCTGCTGCTTGAAAGTAAGCCCTGCACGTGCTCCCCTGCTCATCTCCGTCTCTGTATGTTCCAAGTTCCGCCCATCCCCCACCCTGTCCCCGACAATCCCAATCTCCAATTTTCACAATAAACCGGTTCTCTGTCTCCCGTTTCCCTCCCCAGTGGTCGCAGCAGCAGCATCAGCAAAAACAACAGCAGCAGCAGCAGCGGCGGCAGCAGCAGCAGCAAGAGGACCTTTCAACGTGACTCTCCAGAGCGTGACTGTAATGAGGGACACGGGCATGGTGCTGCCGCCCAGCGTGTTCTTCTCGTGCAAGGACGACGCGTCGCACATCGCCCTGCCGCAAGTCCACAGCATCCTCACCAAAGTCGAATTCTCTGGCTCCGAGCCATGGCAGGTGCGCACAGGATTGACCAGTGCCCAGTGGCTGGTAGACACGTGGCCGGCCCGGCAGCAGGTGGGCACATGGCGGGTGGCACGTGGCAGGAGGTAGGCATCAAGAGGTAGGTGGGCACATGGAATGGTGGTGTGAGTGAAGGGCGGAGCAGAGTATTGGAGAACCCCAAGTGGTGGAGGCGTGATTGGGGACAAGCACAAGCATGTCAACAAGGCAGGAGTGATTATGACAGGCAGTGAAGTGATTGCAAGCACACACCCGCGTGCTAGCTTCTGTCGCCTATTGTCGTATTTATCTCACCTGATCCTTCACTGAAAGCTTCTGTTGTTTCCACCTCCACCTGATTTGTCCTTTAAAGCATCCCCCCTGATCACTCTCAGTCACCACGTCTCTGTAACTCCTCCTTCTCCCCTACCCCAACTTGACTCATCCACCTCCTTCCCCTCTTCCACTCCCTCCGTCGCTCCCCAACCCCCCTTGGTCCCCATCCCCGCACGCATCCCACCAACAGCCGGTGACACAGCTGGGCCACGAGCAGTGCAAGCAGTGCGGCATCTACCAGCGCCACTTCTTCCTCTACACCTCCACCGTCGCCGACTTCCCGCTCTGCCCCGCCAACTTCTCGCTGTCTGCCGCACAACAAGCCACGGCCACGGGGCCGCACAGGCGCAACCCGACTACAGTCATGTCAGGCGGTGTGGCGGTTGTGGACATACCAGGGGTGGTGTACGTGTCCCTGGCGTGTGACACGTGTGTGGCTCCCCCGCCTCCTCCTGCTCCACGCGGTCAGTGGTTTAGTCACGAATCGCTGGGAATGCTCAGTTCCTGCTGAGCAAAGCTGGTTGCTTAGCTCCCACTGGATTTCGCTTGCTTGCCCTGCCATTCAGCCAACCTCGTTCTATAAGCCCGCCTTTTTTGGTAAATTTCTGCTTCCTAGCCTGCTCCATAACCTTATTCTGCCCCTTTTTCCTCTCTCTCTCGCTCTCCCTCACCCTCTCTCTCTCCCTCTCCCTCTCCCTCTCCCTCTCCCTCTCCCTCACCCTCTCCCTCCCACCCTGCCCTCAATTTCCCCACCTTCCAGTAACCGAGTTTGAACCAGCAGTCACCGACGTCACGGGCACATGGGTGACAACCGTCATCCTCTCCTTCGCCTTCCTGGTCGCCATCGCTATGTGCTGTGTCATTGCCCTCATTCTGCGCCACCAGCACCGCCGCAGACGGCAGCACGACGAGATGGAGAAGTCCCGCTTCTTGGATCTGCATGGCGACAACAGCAGCAGCAGCATCCACGAGCACAGCCAGGATGCACCATACCTGGACAAGGATCCTGAACATGGGGACGAGAGTGGTGCAGGTGAAGGGATGGGAGGGGAAGGTTTGGGAGTGAGTGCTGCAACAGCAGCTTTTGCTCCTGGGACCAGTATTGACGACGGGTACAGAGACGAGGATTTCTATTTAGGTAATGGTCATAGTACTGCTGCACTTCACTACCGCGGTGCTGCAGCTGACATGTCAGAAGAGCAGAGAGTGCCCATGATATAATGGACTCTGACCTTAGGCATGCATGCACAAAGGATCTTAGCAACTTGCTGGTCTAATTGACAATTTTGAGCTGCACTTTGTGTAAGCGTTAGCTTTTGTTGCCGTACATGTACTGGGGCGGCATGGTGCTTGGGAAATGTAATGCATAATGATATTATTATAATATATACATTCAAACGAAAGAATAGTCGCACATTGCAAGCCCTAGTGGGGAACGTCTCGCACTAACCAACATCGCGACGCTCTTATTGCGGCTTTCGTAAGCAAGCCAGGCCCTGGACCTGCGCCCCAGCATTTTTCTCCTCCAAAACTTGCTGCCAAGCATCAGTGTGTGGATGTTCCTCCCGTTCCGCCTCAGATGCTCTCACTGCCTGCCGCGTCGCACACGCCGCCCAGACTCCCCCGGTCGCTGCTGCCTCCGCCAGAGCTTCGTGGCGTGTGCAGCATCTCCTCTGACGCCGATCGCGTCAGGTACATCCCCGCCTCTCCCGCTACCTCCCCCATGCCACTGCAATCCCCTCCCAGCATCTCGCACATGCTCATCCCCTCGAACGTTCCGCTTCCGCTTCCGCCGTTCACCCCTGACGCCGCCAGGCCTGTCTTTCCGCCGTGCTCCTCCTCTCCTCCCACGGTGAACACCAAATACGTCTTAATCTCCCCAGTCGCGAACCCGTTAAAGCTGGACCCCGCCGCCGCAGTGTACGCGCCCATGTTTGGAAACACCAGCCAATCACCGATCGCCAGCTCAGGCAGCGCCTCGTCGCGCAGAACCATATCCAACCCGTCGCATGTAGGACCAAACACCGTCGACGGGAAGGTCGCTCCGCTCACCCCGCGCAAAGCTCCCGCGCCTCCGCCGCCCTTCCTGCGCTTCCCCCCGCACTCTGCCTCCGGAGGCAAGCCCTCCCCATCTTCCGCCTTCTCAACTCCGCCGCCTCCGCCGCATACGTCGATAACCTCAACCTCTCCGCCATCGAGTCCGCCGTTGGCGGAAGTTTCGTCGGGAACGGCGGATGCGCGCGCAAGCGGGTGCGCGCGCACAGTCGCGTGGTCGTAGAGCGCACAGTTCATCGAGCCGTACAGCCCGTCGTTGATCCAGTACTCGCGCCGCTCGCCGCGGACGCGGCGGCCGAAGACGCACGTCGCGAGCGTGGAGGGCGTCTCGGCGAAGTACCTGCCAGGCTCCGCGATCACCGTCACTCCGCTGGCTGCCGGGAAGAAGCGGTCGAGCGCCGAGTTGATCGCTGCAATGAAAAAAGAAATCAATCATCAGCACATCTGCGAAAATGAAGCGAAGGATGGTCGACGAGCCAGAAAAAAAAAAAAAAAACAAATTTAGGAAATAGTAAAGGCCAGCGAAGATCGGATTTAATGCAAACTTAGGAAAATATGTAACTCACCATTGGCCGCCGCGTCGAAAGCCATTCCGCCAGAGCACCCTGTCCCAGGCGCCGTAAACCCGCCACCCACGTCGAGCACCGACATGGCAGGCGTGCCGGCCGCTCGTGCCACGTCAGCAGCCATGTCGAACACGTCGCGCGCCGCGGCGATGGCGCGGGTGAAGGCAGCGGGATCGGCTGCGCCGCTACCGACGTGGAATGACACTCCCGCCACGTGGAGCTTAAGGCGCGCCGCGACAGCGAGGAGGGAAGGCACCTCGTGCATGAGCGCACCGTACTTGACACCGAGGTTGCAGCGAGCCGTGGTGTCGTTGGCTTGCAACCGGAGCAGCACCACCGCAGACGGATTCAACGCATGCACCTGTGTTTCAAACATTTGCGCATATTAGAACTACTACTCGAATAATGGACTCGATTGAGCTGCTAATAGTTCAGAAGCCATGTTACGCACCTTAAGAAGCTCGGATTCAGAGTCGAACGTCGTCGCACGAACACCCACTCGCGAGGCGTAGGTGATGTGCGACGGCATCTTGCAGGGGTTGGCGAAGACGATGTTATCAGGCGACACACCCATGCTCAGAACCTGCCAAGGGAGCAGCACACATCACGGTCAGAAACAGAGTTCACAACTGAATCTCAAGCGGATTTGAAGAGTAGGTGATGCGCGACAGCATCTCGAAAACCGACCTGAGAAATCTCGGCCTTGCTCGCGCAGTCGAATCCCGCTCCTAAAGCGGCAAGCACGGAGAGGAGCACCGGCGATGGGTTGCACTTCACCGCGTAGAATGGATGAACCCGAGGAAAGGCGTTCGACCATCCCTGCAAGAAAACAAGCCACAAGAAACGACCGCGTGTCAGAATGCCTCTCCAACGTTTACGAACGAAAGCCGGAACGAAGATTGCACAAAAAACTTGAATAAATAATAAACGGAGTGCTGCGCACCGTAAACAGGCGGATGATTTCCCCGATGTCCATCACGTAAAAGGGATCCTCCAACCGCTTATCCCGAATGAGCCGCTGAATCTCGCCGTCTATCATTCCCGCGCGTCCAGCTGAAGCAAGCGACGACTTGGACTGCAGAACGCGGATGCTTCCGGCGTCGGTTAAGAAGCTTGGCGCCATGAAAATGGGACTGTCCTTTGAATGCGGCGTGCCTTCAGATCCCCGCATGTCATTGTGCTCAGCGCAATGAGCAATACCGCCACCCGTGTCGAGATCCATGCGTTTTGCGTCGGCGTTGCCAGAGGCCCAGGGAAGACCCCATTTCGTGACGAGCGCCTTCCGTGCGATGTTGACGCCATTCTTTGCCGGATTCGAGGACGGCGAGTGAAAGGAGTCGTCAAAAACGCTTCCAAACTCGTACGCTTCTGGGTGAATCTTAGGCTTGAAGAGGTTAGCCGAAGAGAAAATGGAGTTCTCTACCACCATCGCCGATCCTGCCATATTGCACTTAGGAAGAAGCTAGTCGCAATATACTAAGCAACTGAAAGCCCGAGCAAGCTCGACCACGGAAAATGCTCGCGAAACAGAGAGCTGGTTACTGGTTGCACTAAGAGCAGGAGAGCTTGTGTCGAGACAGCCTCGATAAGCAGAGGAAACTAGAATGGGTGAGTTGAAATGCGCTGACCAGCCGACTTTTAACTCCTGCAGTCAAGGGATTCTTGAGCAAGGAATGCCTGGGGGTAGTGCAAGGCACGGTAAGCGATGAGACACGTCTGTCTGCCTGCAGCAGAAAAGGCGGCGTTCATGGCTCAGGTGCTTTGGTCAGACGAGGGAACGATTGGCCCAACAGGGTGCAGTGAGGGACAAGAGCTGCGGCGAAGTGATGCGAGGGGAATCGCGTGTCGCCGTAACCAGGCTGAACAAGTTTGGGCCGCTAATTTTCGCGCGCAGCAGCAGGCGTCGCCAGCAAGGGAACTCTTCGTCGTTTGGGAAGGTGACCCTTGGGATTGCTCAATCCTTGCTGACGATGGCGAAACGCAGGAACTAAGCGAACCGACAGACGGCATTGTACAGTGCATCACAACAAGACATTCATAAAAAGAGCTCCAATAATCTTGAAATAGTACAAGTCTTTTGTCACTAGAAACTGTAGGTGGAGGGTGTCGGAAGTCAGGGAGACATCAACTTCGACTTCTGACGATATAGAAGGAGGGTGCAAGGACAATATTGCACCATGTACGCACTCACATTTCCAAGAACAACCCTGCTCAAGAATCACAAAGAAGAGGTAACTGTGTTAGGGTTCAGGAGCTCAAAGGAGGTGCGTGTACATACACACAAAACCAAACATCTTACCCGCGAACTGAGCCTGTTCCTCTTGTTGCAACAACCAGCAAATCGATATGATTGCGCTCGCAGAAGTCCACCAGTAACGGGCGAGGATCGCCCTCTAGGACATGAGTGAACACCTCAAATGCTGCCCCCTGGAAACCGAAAGGTGGACAAATGCACGAAGAGCTGGGGAACAATAAGGACGCAGTTCCATAAAAAAAGGAAGAGAGTTACAAGTGGGTCAGCAGATAGAGTGGAGGCTGAAGAAGATATTCTGCGATTCTGCTGTCATGCAAAAGCTGAAAAGGGGGGGAGGATGGGAGGGGTGGTGCAGTCGATAGCTGCGATACCTTTGTTTGCAGCGCGAGGGAAATGAGAGCATCAAAGTGTGGTCGCATCGCCGTGTCATTTGCCTTTTTCCCATCAGCTGCTAGCATGCGGTCTGGTTACAATGTGGGCATACGGAGAGCGAGGGGGGAAACTGAGAGTGGCTGGGAAAGGAGTAAAGCTAGAGAGACACACAAAGGCATAAAACTTGAAATACCCAAGCACATTGCACACCATCCACGAAACTTCGCATACGCAAATTGGGGATAACAATCACCACAGTGCCTGCCTTCCCCCATGGCCATGCCATTGTCCTCAACCCCCAACACTCAGCCACAATCTTCATAAGCCAGCGCACCTTGCATGGCATAGCTGGGTTCTCGGTCGGCATGCAGCAAGTAGAGGCGGTCCTCTGTGCGGCACACGTGGTGCAGCACCCACTTGCACGCCTCGCCACTCGCCTCGCTCCTGTCCAGCCCCACGGCGATGCGGCGCGGGCGGTTGCACTGCAGGCGCACCTGCTCCTCCTCTGGCGCCATGCGCACCACCATCACCGGGCACGGCGCACACACTGCGCAGTAGTTGCCCCGGCTGCCTGTCAACATGCTGGGAGAAGGAAACGGGGATTGGAGTTGGGGGTAGGGAACGCGGTGGAGAGAGGGAGAGATAAGAGGGTTGAAAGAGGGGTTGATAGAGGGGTGAACATGGGAGCGGAGAGGGGGATGAGTATGGGATGAATACGGGGGCCCTGAGGGTTGAGTAGGGGGGTGAATAGGGGGATTGACGGGTTCCAGGAGAAGGTAAAGGCAACAAATAAGAGGAGAATGGTAGGTATGCACTAACTCAGCAAGGAGAGGGGCGTAAGTGCAGCAATATCGAGAAGAGAAGCTAATCAGGGAGAGGAGCGAATGGGTCGGGGGGTGGAGAAAGGGAGAGAAAGAGAAAATGGGCGGGGAGGGAGGGGGGGAGGAGGGAGGGGGGGGGGGGGGGGGGGGGGGGGGGGGGGGCAAGCGTATGCGGGGGAATGCTCCTCACGAATTGGAGGAATTTGGGGGCTTGAGATTGGTGAAGAGAGGCAAGCGTATGCGGTTCCTCACGAAGCGTATGCTGGAAAATGCTCCTCCCATGGGCACTTGGATGAAGGAAGAGGGGGGTTGGGTGGGTGGGTCGCGTGTTCCCTCACCGGTGGGAGGAGAGTTGGCGGCGGCTACCGAGCACAAGAAGGTCCACATCCCTGTCCGCGCACATAGACACAATCTTCTCCCGCACATCGCCTTCCGCAAACACTCCCTCGCACTGCACCTGGTGCGATGGGGACGGGCAGGCCCGCAAGCAGACAGGCAGGCGGGTGTGGGAGGGCGTCAGTGGATGGATGAAGACAGAACAGACGAAGTGAAGCGAATGGAACAATGGAGCGAGAGTGAAGAGGAGTCAAAGATACGCGAGCGGGAGCTGACCTGCTTGCCCGTTTCTTGGCACATCTGACGTGAGCGTTCCATGAGACTGTCCAGGAGCTGAGGAGTCACGGCCACTGCCGACAGAGTAACGAGAGTAAACGAAGCAGGCGCAAGATACGCAAGACAGAGGGGTGTAGGGGACATAAGGCGCATTTAGGTTGTAACTTTTTTTTTCTGGGACTACGACATGCGCGTTTTGGCTTGACATTTAGAAGGACCATGGAACGTGGAAACGTACTCGACATCCCCAAAACGAACTTCCATCTCAGACTACGAGAGGTCATGCTCATCCTCCTCGTTCTGCTCCTCCTCCCTATTCCTCCTCCGCTTACTCGTACCTGGCTGCACGGACGGGTCCTGTACACACAGCAGCAGCACCGTGTCTTCGCCCTCTGAAGCCACGTGGCCTATGGTCCACCGTAAGGCGGTTCGCGAGCCACGTGTTTCATCCATCGCAACCATTATGCGCTTTCTGCGAACTGCGACAGGGTCTTGAGTCGCCATGGCTTCTAGATGAAAAAGTCACGGCTTTCAGCAGATTCAAATGTTTCTTGGAGAAGTAGCACCGTCAGTGTCGCTGCGAAGGATGCCATAGCCACGGAGCAAGGTGCTATAGATAATATCCAGTCACTGTAGAATCCAGATTACACTTCCCCAGTAATTTCTGGTTCGGTAAATAGAATTTTCTGGTAGCATAAGGTAATAGATCCTTTTGAAAAGTGGCCAACAGCAAGCGCACCGCTAACGCGCTACTCATTCAAGAATTTATCTTCTACTTGTAGCTCCCAATTTCCCTTTTACCCAACCCATTGTCCAAACTTGAATATTTATAATACGATAACTATGTGCTACACCATAATTAACTTCAAATTACTTTCTGTGTATTACTTTGGATAAACCACTCCTGCGATATCCCTTTCTGCATTCTTGTCCACGTTGGCGGATCGCAGGTTGAAGAAATCGTGACAATAACGCGCGATGCTTGCTGTGGAGTCAAACGCCTCGCCAAGAGTCTTCGCTCGATGAGCAACGACGCCGCCGTGATCGCAACCTTTCGCAAACTTGGGGACCATGATCAGTTTCTGCGGCAGTCTGCTCTCGTCAGACATCGTCAACCCCATCGACCTGTCTATCTGTCGCTAGTTTTCTTGCTACGCGCAACCAAAAGCGAGGGCACAGCACAGCACACCACCATCCACCAACCACAACCCCCGCACCACCCCTTCCCCCAATCCCCAACCAACACCCTTTTCCCCGCACCCTTTCCCCCACCCACACCCTCTGGCACTGCACTGCACACGCATTTTCTTCAGCGCGGCACCAACCCACAACACACGGACTCACTTGCGCTGCAAGTACTGACACTGAAAAATGCGGACCAGCGCCACGGGATTCCGCAACTTCCCCCAGGTGCGGAGAAAACTGCCACTTTCTGTGTCCGCCCACTTTCTCGGGCTCCGCTCCGTGAGCTCTCCCAACCCACACCAATAGGTTCTCCCCCAAGCTTGCGCCAGTCTTCCCCCCTTGTTTCGCCCCGCACCCCCTCCTCCACCCCTGGAGCGAATGTAGTTTCCCTCCCACCCACCCTACCGCTCCTGCTCACCCTGCTACTGTATTGCCTCTCCGGCTTTCCCTCTTCCACCAGCTCTGTAGGACGTTCTGCTGCTCAGCTGTGCTACTCTCCCTCTTCCAAGCTGTAACTGTCCTAGGTATGTGAGTTCAGGTTGATACGCTCGTGCACTTACCGTGTGGATCCTGGTATGGATGCCTTCGAGTAGTCTAGTCATACTTATAATTTTCCGCTGATTGATGACAGTGACGTTATTGTTAACTAACATGCCTTTTTTTCGTAACTTCGTACTTCCTCTACCAGCCAGTGGGTAGAATCTCCGATCGTTCGTGTTGTATTTTTCCCTGTAAGCCGGCCTCGTATCCTGACCACCCCTAACATCTTCCGTGGCTCCTGCAGCCTTAAATCTCTCATTCAGATGCAACCGATTACCTAGGTTGTACTAGGTTATAGAAGGATTTTCACAGCAACCGATCTTTTATACTCTGGTATAATCCGTGTCTCCGTCAAATGCCGTGCTGTACTTCGCCCGCGCGGCGCTGTTGCCTAGTAAGGCAGCCGCGCTCTATCCTTCCGCCACGGTAGCCGTTCGTTACGCTGGTGTTCCGACTTCACAACGGCAACAGTCTCTAACTACTCTCTGAAATCTCTTCCTAGCCGGTTTTTTTCTGCTTCGCACAGTTCTCTACTCAAGGCACCTATCGCTAGCTCGGTGAAAGGCATAGTATTCATCGCCCGTATACTCTGCGAAAGTGATCTAATATATTAGACCCATCCCAAGTCTGGAAGCTTTCTGTCGCCGGGTTTGTGTGGATACTGCGAGAGGGAGAAGGAATTTGCTTGCGGTGTTAGCTTCCTACGTCACCATGGGTGCCATGACGTCATCGTTAGCGGCGAAATTCGCGTTTTTCCCGCCAACCCCGCCTTCATACGGGATCGTGAAGGACCCGAGCACTGGAAAACTGCGATTCGACAGCATCGCGCCGCAAGACCACGTGGACGTGTTGCTGATCGACACGCGGCGGAGACAGCAGGTGGCGGCGATGTTCGTCCGCAATCCCCGCGCGCGATTGACGCTGCTGTACTCGCACGGGAATGCGGCTGACCTGGGACAGATGCACGACCTCTACGTCGAGCTCGCGCACATGCTGCGAGTTAATCTCATGGGGTGGGTCTCGTAACCACCCCCTCTCTTGCTTCCGTCCGTTCCGCTCTCCCTCTCTCTCTTTCTCTCCCTCGTTCCTTGGGTCCCAATTGTCCTTGTCGATGGCGCTTCCATTCTACACTCGTGACTGCCTTTACAGCTCTGAGCCCTTTAATTGCACTTTCTCTCCGAGTCCTCTTTGTTCACCTTTTTACGTTCCCAATCTTCCGTCACCTCCCATCCCATCATCTTCCGTGCCTCGCCAGGTACGACTACACGGGATACGGCGCCTCAACCGGCAAGGTACAGTACGCTGCTTCTCGCAAGCTGAGTCCACCAGTATGGGGGGGATGGGGGAAGGGTAACTATGCAGCTTCTTTATTAACAACCATCGTGCTCCACTTTGGGCGGTTGCTTGCGCCATCATTCCTTTGCAGTCCCCCCTCCCCTTCCCCCCACTCCCCCTCCTTTCCTCGACTTTCTCAGCCCCTGTCTATGGAATCATTGTGCCGTGCTCCGCCATTTCGACAACTGTTTTGAGCTTTTTCCTCTTTGATCAAGTTCTTCTCGCCTGCAGAATATAGAATCCCTTTCTCCCCTCTCCTCAAGCGTCAAGCATCCTTGTAACACCGGCCTCCACGCAACAGCTACCTACGCCCTTTCCTCAACCCGTGCCCACAACCCCTCTCCGTCTCCCCCCTCCCCGTTTCCCGCGCACTCCCCCCCCCCCCTCCCCCCCGCGCGCGTCCCCCGCAGCCGTCGGAGGCGGACACGTACGCGGACGTGGAGGCGGTGATGGCGTGTCTGCAGCAGCGGTACAACATCGGCGCGGACCAGGTCGTGCTGTACGGCCAGAGCGTCGGCAGCGGGCCCACCGTCGACCTCGCGTCGCGCACGCCGAACGTGCGCGGAGTCGTGCTGCACAGCCCCATCGCGTCGGGGGTGCGCGTGCTGTACGAGGTCAAACACACCTACTGGTTCGACATCTTCCCGGTACGCCGCGCATGCTGTGGCAGGAAGGGAGGGGAGGGGAGGGGAGGGGAGGGGAGGGGAGGGGAGGGAGGGGAGGGGGTGGGGGTTGGGGGGAGGGGGGATGAAAGGAATGGGGAAGAGGGGGTTCTGTGTCCGCGTCGGGCGTGCGCGTACTGTACGAGGTCAAGCACACCTACCGGTTTGACATCTTCCCGGTACGCCTCGCTCTTACACTCGCGCTGGCGCTAGGACAGGGGCGGAGGTGGGGGGAAAGAGAGGGGGGCAAGAGGGGAAGAAGCGGAGGGTGGAGAGGTGGTGGTTGTCGCTGCTGTATCGAACAGAGCAAACGGGAAAGTTGAATATCGGAAACGGGGACGCGGACCTTTTTGTAAGAAAATGATGAAATGAATCAAGTAGCTGATGAAGGAAACATCCGCTGGTATCAAAAAGAGAAGTTAACTGAGAAAGGGAAGAGGAAGGGGAGGGTGAGATGCCTTGAGGGTTGCCAGCGTGCACTTCTATCTTGCAATGAAACGCGTTATCCTCACCATTCTCGCTCTTTTCTCTGCCTGTCCTCTGCCATGCCGTGCCGTGCCGTGCTGTGCTGTGCTGTGCTGTGCTGTGTTGTGTCATCCCACGCCTCTTTCGTTTGGTCCTCATGCGCACAGAACATTGACAAGCTGCCCAAAGTGGAGTGCCCTGTCTTCGTCATGCATGTACGACTTACCTCGCCCCTCACTCCCCCTCCCCCCTCGCTCACTCACTACTACTCCTGCGCTCTCTGTCTTGCCCTTCTATTTGTTTCGCTCTTTTCCCTTGCAACCCCCCTCGCCCCCATCCCCTACCCCGATCCCACTCTCTCTCCCCCCTCTTCCCGCTTTCTCCTTCCCCATTCGTTCTAGAGGAATTAGCCCACTTCTTCTTCACGTTACACTCTTCCTGCTTCCGTCGTTCACCTTCCACTCTACCCAGTCCAACGCTCTGTTCTCGCACCCTCACCCGCACTCCCTCTATCTCACCTCTCTTCATCCCACTCTCTCCGTCCCGCGCCTCCCCCCTCCTCTTCCCACCTCCCCCCCCCTCTCCTCTTTCCGCCCGTCCCCGCGCTTCCTTCTCCCCCCCCCCAGGGCACGTCGGACGAGGTGGTGGACGTGTCGCACGGGCAGATGCTGGTGGATGCGTGCAAGCGGCCGTTTGAGCCGCTGTTCCTGGAGGGCGGGCACCACTGCGACCTCGAGTTCTTCCCCGAGTACCTGCGCTGCCTGCGCAAATACATCTCCTACCTCGTCCAGCACCCCCCCGCGCCCCAGCCCGACCTCCCCAGGAAGGCCAAGCGGGTGAGCGGGAAGGGGGGGATGTGGGGGGGGTGGGGAAGGAGGGGAAGGGAGGGGGGAAGGGAGGGGGGAATGGAGGTGGGGAGTGGGAAAGGAGAGGAAGGGGGACTGGAAGGATGGGTTGCAAGGCAAGGGTGGCGGAAGGATTGGGGGTGCAGGCGATGGGAATGAAGTTGCGGAGTCCATTTGGGAGTATAGTCACACAAAGATGGCGATTCGTTTCCGTGTTCATCAGCCCATTATGGCCTCCACAAGCACACCAACTTCTTGGTCTGGGTTGGGTTGGGTTCGGTCCAACCCCTTTCTCACCTCTCTCCTCCATCCATTCCTCGCCCATTCCCCGATTGTCCCAACCGAGCTCAAGCTCCAGCTCCTTGCTTCTTCCACCCTTCCACTAACCTGCTCCCGCCTTCCTTCTTCCCCGTTCCCCCATCTCCGTTCCCTCTTCCCCGCTTCCCCCAATTTCTCTCCCCTCCGCCCCTGCGCCCCTGCGCCCCTCTCAATATCACCAGCGCCCCGGATGGGGAACCCCCATAACAGCCATCCGCTCCTTCATGACCCCCAACCGCCACCGCCACCCCTCCGGCACCGCCTCTGCTCCTGCCACTCCCGTCGGCTCCTTCTCCGCCTCGCCCGCCTCCTCCTCCGCCTCCTCCTCCGCCTCCCTCCCCACCTCCAATGGCAACTCAATTGATTCTGCCTCGTCCTCTTCCTCCACGCCCAACCCCAAGACCCGGTCGTGGAAGCTGAGGGCCATGTCTCCATCGTTCCGCTTCTCCCCTTCGACCTGGCGGAGGAAGGGATCGGAGGAGGGGCAAGGGGACGAGGCGGAAGCGCTGGGAGTGGCAGCAGTGGCGCAAGGGAAGGCTCCTAGTGGTCCTGCCACAGGTTCAGGATCAGGATCAGGCTCTGCTGCTGCTGCTGCTGCTGCTGCTGCTGCTGCTGCTCCTGCTGTGAATGGCATAGCAGCTGAAGGGACTTCGTCAGGTGCTGGTGCTGCTGCGAATGGAAAGGCCATTGAAGCAGCAGTGGCGGCAACAGGAGTTGCTGCCATGGGCGGGGAAGTGGGGTCCAGCTAATGAAATGGTGTTACGTGAGGGTTGTGAGAGGTTGGAGTGGGTATGGAGTGGTGGTGGGAAGTGGCGTGGGGTGAGAGTGGTGTGGGATGGGTAGCAGCTAATGGCAGCAGGCTGAGGAAAAGAGATGAGCTAGTGGAAAGGAGACAGGCTGAGGAGTCCAATTTGTTGTGTTGTGATGTGCCATGCGGTGCGCCCCACGGTGCGGTGCTGTTCGGTGCACTGCCGGTGCAGCTGTGTCTGGTGACTTGTCTGGCTGGTTCTACTGCGTGTGCTTTGCTTGGAGCAACGGTGGCCCTACAGCCTGGGTGCATGGGTGTGAGAGAGAGAGAGAGAGAGAGAGAGAGGCATGAAGGCAAGGGAGCCTTGTTTAGGAGAGCCTCAATATGACCACGGCCTGTGACGGTTCCTGATGTTTGGTGGTTTGTGAACAGGGGTCGGCTGGTATGGGCTGGGCGAGCGCCATGCACTAGTGTGCACCTCCATCCCCCCCACACCTTCCAGCATCCATTCTCCCTTGCTCTCTAACCGCTGTTCTTTCTTCCCCTCATTCTCCTGCCTCACTCCGCCCACTGACCTCCTGTTGTCGCACCCTCTTTGCTGTTTTGAGTGCTCTTTGCACCTCCACTCCACTACTGAGGAGAAATTCTTGGGATGTTCTTGACTTACTGGGTGGGGTCCCAAGGTCAGCGCTTACTTACACACACTCTGTCAAGGTTACACCTTATCGGTGTCCAGTTTAATGATGTTATTGGGGCTCTGTGTGGGGTGGATAACTCATACTGTAAAGACGAATTGTCAACCTGAATTTCTGTTTTGCAGTTGATTGAGTGACAACAGAGTATGTTCCAGACCTTGCATCTGTTTGCTTGCGAGTATGTGAATACATTTTTTACTCTGATGAAATACCCCCTCCCCTCTCGAACCCTTTTTCGGATCACTCATTACGCCACCAAGCGCTCTTCGTTGTGGATGGGCTGCACAATCACCTAATCCCTAGGTTTACCGCGTCGACGAACTGGGCCTGGTGTATTCCCATCCGTCGCGCCCTGCGATCGCCGCTCGCTAGTCGCCGCGATGTCTATCCACGCCGGTGTCGCACACTGCTCGCCAGTCGGCGACTTGCAACGCCCCGCACTCGTTTCCAGTGGTCCGTCGCACACTCGCTCGCATGCGCGCGCTGCCGTCGCATGCCGGCCTTATCGCATCGACGTCTTAGGGAGCGCGAGGTCGCGCTGCGGCAGAGTGAGCAGCAGCTTTCAAAATGTAAGCGGTAGCGGTGGCGGCGGAGCTGGCCTTTCAGCGGACGCCACGTGGCCAGGGTTACAACACCCTCCCGCTTCCCGTTTCAGTTCATCGTCGCACGGACTCTCAGTACCTCGCGGGATTCCCGGAGCCGAATCGCTGCGAATGCTGGGAAGAAGAGAGTGTCTGGACGATCGGCGGGGACTGCAACGAGCAGCGCAGGTGGGACTACCCCGCATGGGGAAGGGTTTAAGGCGGGTGGCGGGAAGAGAAGGGGAAGGTTGGCGGAAAGAGTGAGGTAGAGGATTGCGAAGGGTGAGGTAAAGCGGGGGAAGCCTTTGGGGAATGAATGGGGCGAAAGGGTGGGGAGAGGATGGGTTGAAGAGGGGGAAGCATTGGGGGAAAGGTGTGGCTGGGTTACTGTCTTGGCAGGGAATGGGAATGGAAAGGGGAGTGATGGTGCATGGGAGTGGGAGTGGGAGGGGGATATGATCATATGAGGCAGGTGGTATGTGCCCGTTGACGGAATTATGGGTGTGAGGATGGCAGTGCTGGGTGTGGTAAAGGCGGGAGGGGAAGCGAGGGGCGTCGTGTATCCGTACATTTCTAATTTTCATGTGTGCTTGCGGCGCATGCTGTGGTGTTGTGCGCAACGGCAAAGCATGTGCAGCGCAGCTGGTTATTGGCTGTTCAGAGCCGCTTGCGTTCTTGCCTCTGTCCCTCGCTGCATCTTAAGCCTTGTCTCTCGCAAGAGGAACCAACGCACCTCAACTTATCATCATTGCCTCCCTCGTTCATCTCCTCACTCAAGGAGTTGCCATCCTCAAATCAATTTCACTCTCTCACTCATCTCCTCCCCGCCCTGCTGCCACTATCCTACTCCCCTGCCCCTCTCCATATGCTCCTCTCCCCCTCCTCCCCTTCCCACAGTCTTCCACCCAAATCACATGCCGATTCAGCAGTGGCAGCGGGATAGGGAAAAATCCAAGCCCTGGCAGCAGGCCGAGGAAACAACCCTCCACCTCCTCCCCAACTCCATCCTCCCCTTCCTCTCCACAACAAGCAAAGGCTCTCCCCCCCCACTCGCCTCCTTCCCCTGGGCCCCTCTCCTGTCATCTATTCTCGCGCGCTTCCACTCGCTGCTCTCCGTCTCCTTCTCCCTCCTCCTCCTGCCCTACCTCCTCTCCTCGTCCCTAGGAGAGCTTGCTTTTGCTCTCAGGCAGCAGCAGGCGCTGCTGGCAGGGACTGCTGCGCTCGCTGCCTGTCTGGGCTGCTATTGGTTGATGGAGCGAGCGGGGAAGGAACTGGGTGCGCTGGTGAAGGGAGAAGGGGCTGTTGGCAAGGTTCTTGCACTTGTTGTTCAGGTCAGTATCGGTCTGAATTCTGTGTTTGTTCCTGTTCCGCTCGTTCGCACATCTCATGTGATTTGGTTGCATTGCGTCCTTATGCGCGTTCAAATAACCCCTTTTTTTGTGTCTGTGCTCATGTTGCTATTGTTTAGAACTCGACCAACCTTATGATGGTTGTTGCAGTCATCTGTGCGCTTCTCAAGGACGCCGGACCCTCCCTCCCACCTGTCCTTCGTGTCATCGTACCATTCTTGGCAAACGGTGGTTTAGTTGCTGTTTTTGTGCGGTTAGTTTTACGGCTTGTGTAAGAAGATATCGCTAGAAACTAACCATGAACCAGTGACTATATAGGCCAATAATATGCACTTCATCTTGTTTTGAAAAGGTAGGGACTTACTGTTAGTGTACTGTAATGTCGATTATAGCTTCTCAAGAAGTCCAGCTATTTGACCACTCAGCCACTCTCCACCGCAATAAACCTTTCTTTTAACCACAATATTCATTTTCTCGAGAATTATCTACCACCCCCTCCAAAACCGAAGACGCGCTACCGAACACCCCCCACCAAACGCGCCATCGATCAACTTCCGCCAATCCGCTCCGCGCTTGCCTCTCGTCTCCTCCCCGCACATCACGCCTAGCGTCGTGGCGGACCCTTATTCCTCTGCGATTGGGTAAACGTTCCATTTTACCTCGCGCGGTTGGAGTGATCCGTTTGAGGGAGTGTGCACTGGCGAGTGGTAGGATCCATAACTGAGAATCCTTCCGCTTCGCGTTACCGTTCACCTTCGCCGCAGGCAGTAGTAACGGTATCCCTGCGCTCTGCTCTGGTCCGATCCGCGCCGCGACCCTCCGTTGATCCGTCAGCATGGCGTGGCGCGCGTCGCTCTCGCAGTTTCTCCACGAGATCCGCATCCAGCTCTGTCAAACGTCGCCCGCGAGCTCCGCCGCCAGGTACGCCGCGATTCTCGGCGCAAACCGTGTGGATTTTGGGTGTCTGGGAACAGTAACGTCGTGAGACGTCTCGAGACAAGCCTTTTTAAGTTTCGTTGGAGTGGCAAGTGATTGTCCGCCGGCTGGGTAAACGTGGGGTTAGAAGTGCGGCATACAGGCTGTTTGGTATCGCGCATTGGTTGTTATCCTTGTAGAGGGTCTGCTCTTATTGGTTTTGTATCAGAACGAAAAAAGGCGCGGGGTAGATCGCGTAGCAGGGCGTGCGATTAATCGCACGTCGTTTGGGCATGCGGTTCAACGTTAGCGCGGTCAACCAGGGACGACGGATTCCTGCTGATCAGTCAGTTTTCCGTCAGTCAATCAGATTCAGTCAGGCTGTGCACGTGCCGCCGTCCTGCCAGGTGCCGATCTTCGATCGATGTATACCTCTGGCATTCCCACGCCCGTTTCACCATTACGCGTCAGGCTGTACACGCTTCCTTTCGCGCTGGTTTGTTTTTCTTCACTGACGCACTCCGCTTCCATGCATCCCTCCACCTTTTTCTTTCCCCCCCCCTTCCCACCTCATCCCCCGCGCCTCCCCTCCTCTCCCCCCCTCCCGTGCTCCACTTCTTTCCCTCCCCTCCTTCCCCCTGCCTCCCTTTCCCCGCCGATCCCCGCGGCACTCCGCGCAGGCAGTTCGTGCAGCGCAACTACGCGGACCTGAAGAAGCAGAACCCGCGCCTGCCCATCCTCATTCGCGAGTGCAGCGGCGTGCAGCCGCGCATCACCGCGCGCTACGGTACGCCGCGCGCGCCTTCTGGCGCGGGGGAAGGGAGGAGGGCACCTGGGAGGAGGGGAGACGGGGGTGGGCCAGGCCGGGGGAGGAAGGGGTGGGGTGGGAAGAGGTGGTTGGGATAGCGGGTGAGAGGAGAGGAGGGGGCTGCCAAGGGGAGGGAGGTTGGGAGTGTGAGGACAGGGAGGGAGGGACAGGGTGCTTGGCGTGTGGGGAGTTTGCCATTCATGCACCTCAGGGGGTTCAGGGAAGAGTGAGTATGGGGAAGATGAGGAGGGAGGCGGGAAAGGGGAGGGGGGAGGGGGCAGTGGGGAGGAAGGACAGGGGAGAGGGAGAGGGCAGCTGGGGATGATGGTAGGAGGCCAGTGCTGGCAGATGTGTTTCTCTGTGTTGCTTACTCTCTGTTGATCCAAAACTTACATACACAGTGTGCACTGGTTTTGCGCTGCTCTGTTGCAGTGTCCATTCACCTCGTTCATCCAGTCATCGCCTTTGCCCATTTGCTCCCTCACTGCCTCTGGTGGTCCCTCCCTCGACACCCCTTTACCTTCTCCCATTCCGGTCTTTTAGAACCCACCTCATACCATCACTTCCTCAACTGGTTTCCTTAGGGACGCCCATCTGTCCATCTAGCCCTTACCTCCTCCTTATTCCTGCCTCCCCTCCCCGGTGCATGCTTCTCATACCGTACTGCTTTCTATGTGCAGACTACGGGGTGGAGCACAGCATGGCACTGGAGGGCCTATCGGAGGAGCAGATAGACGGCAAGCTCAAGGAGTTGCTGGACCTGGGCAAGATGGCCGCAGCAGATGCAGCAGCAGCCAAGCAGTAACCTACTAGGCTTAGTGTAGCTTTTGAAGTAAACTTCATTTGTTGCGAATTGTTGAACAAGTGTATCATGTGTGATGTGGTAGTTTTTTTTGTTTTCCTCTCTGGACTACTTTTACAGTCTGATTTGAGTCCTCACATCCCCTCAGCAGCTGCTGCCTCCTCATCTGCTTGGAGGCCTGGAATAGCCGCCGCCATCGCCACAGCCTCATCACCTCCATAAACAGCCCTGCAAGCCCCATTCCGTTCGCTGTTGAAGTTTCAAGTGAGTGGTGTGAGCAGTGATAGATGAGAGGCGGTGCTCTGTCTCCAGAAGCAAAGGCAAAGGAAGAGGGAGGAGAGGTGGAGGAAGAAGAGGGATGGACTGTGGTAGGATGTACTGAAGGATTTGATCTTTACGTTCTGGGTACGGTATGTCGGTTAGTGACGAACACACCTTTGAATTGTGTCGGGTCCAATTATACCGTGAAGAATGGCTTTACGACAAAACACACCACCACCTTCCAGACATGGAGCACGTCGTGGGCGGAACACGGACACGGAAGCCGCGCCGCCGCCGCTTCTGGTGTTGAGAGATGTGCGACGAGATGACGAAACGAGGGGTTCACGATTCACGCGGCTCCGTTCCTGTCAAACGCCGACCGTGATTCGTCAAACGGGTGGGGCGGGGAGGTGGGAACTGTCCCAACCATCGGGAATGTCCCTGCGAAACCTGGAATGATCTGGACATGCTCGCGATCCCACGCTGTCCATACGGCGAAGATTGCTCAGTGGCAATCGTCGTAAATGGTAACCGAAGCTAGGTTTCGCAGGCGAATTTCGGTGGAGATACGCGCAAGCATGGTTGAGGTTAGGCATGCGTCGTTGGTGAGGGGGAGGGAAGGACCGAGGAACATGGGTGGGCATGTGGGAGCGACAGAAACACAGGACTGCATCCTGATGGTAACAATCGTTTTCTCACGGTTTGAACAGTTTTCGCGCGGTTAAAAATGGTACAAAATAAGGACCAGTTTCCAGCTCCACGCACCGAATTCAACCGATTTGGAACAACGCGTGACAGACGTTTTGTTGGGATGCACGCGCCAGAGTTGGAACACGCGGGAAGGCAGACAAAAGAACGCTCAATGCTTGATTCTCACTTGCATCTTTCTGACTCGACCTGACCCGACCATTCGCCACGATCACTCGCGACGTTCTTGATTGCGGTAGAGCTTAGGCGCCTACCTCTTACGCACACAATTATCCTCGTCAACACCACCAGCGAATTATCAGGAGAAAAGAGAAACCGCTAAGTCTGTGACAAGGCAAATCGAAGTAGTCATTTTTTTAAGTTTCTGACCGCAGGATCCCAAGGCCCCAATACCTCTTCGAGGCCCGTGCCATACGGTCGCGTTATGGTGCGCTCTCGCGAGCGGCAATCAGGGCGACTAGCCGTTGCCGCCGTTGCAAGCCTGTTTTGTCTACAGCTTGCGAGGTGAGTCGATGCGATGATATGCTGTGGTGGCTTTTGGGTCCACGATTACGTGCATGCAATGGTGCGCCGTGCTGTTCTGCCGTTAAACGTTCGCGTTCGACACCAGAATGGTCACAAGTCGAAGTGATGGACGGCACTGCTTCTCCGCGTTCTGTTCGGGCTAACCAATTGCCCCTCCCAAGTCCTCCCGCACCTCCCCCATCCCTCATTCCCCCCAACCCCCTCCCACTTCCACCACTCGCCCCATGAATCTTCTTGAAGCTACGGTAACCCTCTTGCTGCACCTCTGAGTTTCCAGCGCAATGCACCCCCATCCGCCGTTCCGCCCTTCTCCCCCCTCTTTCCCCCCCCTTCCCCCCCCTTCACCCACACGCTTCCGCGCCCTTTCGCAACCTTTCGCCCCCTTGCGCAGGTTTCCGCGCCGTTCCTCGCGTCACTGTGCGAGTGACGATCCGTCTCTCTTTTTTTCATCAGCTCCCCTACTCCTTCCTCTCTCCCTCTCTCCATCTTCTCTGCTTCGCTCCCTGTGCCTCCCCCCTCGTCCTTCGCCATCCAGCTACACGCTCACGTCATCAGCAGCAGCATCCGCGAATTACGCGTGGCTCGCCTCGAATGACGGCTCCAGTCCGCGCAATGCCTCCTCCTCCTCCGCCGCCGCCTCCTCCGCGGGCAAGCGCTCCGTGCAGGCCATCCCCGGTCCGCGGTGCCGCGGCCCGTGCTGCTCCAACCGCGCGCCGCGCATTCCCAAGGGCAGGCCGTCGTTCAAATCCAAGTGGATCAGCGCGCAGATGGCGCACGGCTCGCGGGTACGATGCGAGGAAGGGAGGGACGGGGGGATGATGGAGAGAGGGTGGGGAGAGTTGGGGCAGGAGTGGGTGGTCTAGGGAAAAGGGGTAAGGGAGAGGGTGGTCTGAAGAGACGGGTGATGGCGGAAAGCGGAAGAGCTGTCCGCAGGAGGGGGGAAGGAGGAAGGGTAGATACTGGAGAGGATCGGAGAAGCGGATGGGCGGATAGGACGGCAGGCGCATTGTCGTCACGTGCATTGTTCCCCAGCATGTGTCATTCGAGGCGGCTTGAAAACCCGACATGAAATACAGACTCTTAGAGGCGCCCGTATATACCCTGGTTCTCGCGTCTGGGCGCCTTGGCTTTTCTCCTCGGCTTCGAATCGCCATGGCGATTTGCATTCAGTCCCCTTTTGCCTTGTGAGAGTTCGTTCCCTCTCCCACCTTGTGTGTCTCCACGCGTCGCGTTCTTCACCTCCTCGACCCAAGGATGCGACCTTTTCGTTACCTGCCCCCAACCCTCCCCTTAACCTTTACCCGCTTCCCTTTCCCCTTCCGCTCCCCGTTCCGCGTGCTCCGCCGCAACAGGTGCAGCTGATGTCCAGCGCGTTTCAGTCGTGGTGGGGGCCCGAGAACGCCAAGGCGTGGGGCGGCGGCGGCGGCACGGTGCAGTCGCCGCACCGCGGCGAGCCCAGCATCCTCTCGTCCTTCCTCGTCTCGCGCGTCTCCAACACGCAGGTGCGCCGCCAATGCCCTCGTCCGCTCCGCCATGCCCTCTTCCCGCCATGCCCTCCCCGCCACGCCGTTCCCGCCATGCCCTCCCCACAACCTGTCGCGCGTACACTACTCCCCCTCCCTTGTCTGCGCTGCAGCGCCGCTGGGATCGCACCCATCAGCAATGTAACCACGTTATCGCATTGCACCGCATCACATCACATCCCATCGCGTGCCCTTCCACTCCAACGTCCCCTTCTTTCCGCCGTCCTCCTGCCGCTCCCCCTCCCTGTTCCCTTTCCCCTCCCCCTTCCCCCACGTATCCCCCTTCCCCTCCCTCCCCCCCTCCCCCTCCCCCCACTTCGTCTCCCCCTCCCCGCGCGCCTGCAACGCGCCACCAGATCCGCCTGCAGGTGCCGAACGGCAAGTACGTGCGCGCGGGCGGCGTATACGCGGGCATCAACGCCAAGTTCCCCACCATGGACCTCACGCCCAAGGCCGACCGCACCACCGTCTTCACCATCGTCTCCGCCGGCGCTGGCACCGTGAGTAGAAGAGATGAGAGTCCTTAGAAAAGAAGCAGGTGCGTTGCAGGAGTCTCTCTCTTGTTCCCCACCATGGATCTCACGCCCAAGGCGGATCGCACCACCGTCTTCACCATCGTCTCAGCGGGCGCTGGCACCGTGAGTAGAGCAGACGAGCGTGTCTAGAGAGGCAGGTGCGTCACTGACGGGAGTGTCTAGAGTCGGGGTTCTCTAGTGTTTCCCACCTTGGACCTCACACACAAGGCCGACCGCACCACCGTCTTCACCATCGTCTCCGCCGGCGCTGGCACCGTGAGTACGCGGGGAAGTCGTACCGTGAGAGTGCGGAAGCCGTGAATAAGTAGACGGGAAAGCAGCTGTGGCAGGGGTGAGTCAGCGAGGAATGTTGTGATTGCTTTCCCAAGTGCGTGTTCGCCTCGAGTCTGCTCAAAGCACGCGGTCCCCCCCTTTCCCCGCCCCACGTCTCCCTCTCTCCCACCCCCCCGTCTCCTGCAGATCAACCTATTGGCGTACGACGGCAAGCACGTGAGTGCGAGCGGCAACAAGGGCGACCAGCTGCTGCATCGGTGTGCCTGGTCCCCCTGCCGTCCCCCACCCCCGGAACAATTCTCCCCCTTAACCCTTCCCCACCTTCTCTCCCCCACTATCTCTCACTCCCCTTAGATCAACCTCCTGGCGTACGACGGCAAGTACGTGAGCGCAAGCGGCAACAAGGGCGACCAGCTGCTGCGGTGGGCGACGACGCCGTCGCAGTGGGAGGCGTTCGTGGTGTTCGAGGCCATGATGGTGCCCGCCATCCGCGGCGCCAACATCGGCGGGTGGCTCGTGTACGAGCGCTGGATGAACCCCGGGCTCTATAGCAACCCCCGCAAGTGGAAGGATGGCACCATGGTGTGTGCGCGTGAAGCGTGGGGGGAGGGGGGAAGGCGGAACTCGGGGGATAGGGAAGATGGGGAAAATGCTGGGAGGGAGAGGTGGTAGGTGGAAGGTGGATCATGGATTGAAGCTGCTGCTGCTTCTGGTGGAGTGGAGAGCCAGAGAGTTCTGGTTGGAGCCTGTTCGTCCTTCTCACCTCTCTCCTCTCCTCCCATGCTCTGCCTCCCCTCCCCATCCACCCATCCATCTTTTGATTTCTGTATCCGTTCCACGCGTGTCCATCAGTTCCGGCTGCAATCAATGACGACCAAGAATTATGTCACGGCCAAGAACTATGGTGGCAGCACGGTATGTGCACCTCACAGCCCATGGCCGCCCCCTATGTCTCGCTCATTCATTCACTCACTCACTCACTCACTCACCCACTCACCTACCAACGCACTCACTCACTCACCCGCCCACCATCCCCTTTATACTATTCCCTTTTCTGTCTCTTCCCTACTGTCTTCCCTTCACAACCTTTCTTCCCCCCATCTATGGCTGCAACCTGTCCCGTTCTTTCCCGTCCCCTCCTTCCTTCCCTGCCCTTCGCCCTGCAGATCATATGCAAGGACTCCACTCCGGGCTATGACGGCATCTTCTTCCTCCGCACCAACGGCGCCAAGTACCAGGTACGCATGCACAAAAACATGCATGCACATGCACGCGCATGCACGCGCCCATGCATCTACATGCACTGCGTGCACACATGCACATTCGAGCATACGTCACCAATGCCCTCCGCATGGCCCACTTGGCTTCTGCTCGCTCTCCGTCGCCCCCTCCACCCACCCACTCGTTCCTGCCATCCTTCACTCTCCTCTCTCCTCCTTCTCACTACTCGCCTCCATGCTGTCTGTTGTACAGGGCACCAGTTTTTTCACCTCGTCTACTCTATCCCTCTCCCTTTCTTTCTCCCTCTCCCTCTCCTCCCTTCCGCACCCCCTCTGCTGCGCCCGCCCCCATCCGCCCGAGAGCAGGTGCGAGTGCAGGGCACGCAGTTCTGGACACTCTCAGGCTCCTCTGTCGTCGCTTCCTCGCCCAACCCCACCAAAAAGGTGCGCTGCACTCACGTGCATGTGCTGCATGTGCTCTCTCCCTTGCCCGCTTTCACTCGCCCCTACTCACATACATCCCATACATGCATACATGCACACATCCATACACATGATATTCCGACTGCATCTTTCAGTCCAAGGACAGAAAGTCCGCCAACGGTATGAGTTTTTCCAGCCTCTCAAAACCCCCTGCCTCTCTCCTCTCCTCCCTCCCTCCCTCCCTCTCCTCTCCTCTCCTCTCCTCCCTCCCTCTCCTCTCCTCCCTCCCTCCCTCCCTCCCTCTCCTCTCCTCTCCTCTCCTCCCTCACCGGGCCTTCCCATCACCAGTACTCGGACTTCTCCTTCCAGTTCAAGGACAGCAGTCTGTCACTGGTGCGAGTGATAGCGTCCAACGGCAAGATGCTGCGCGCCACGGCATCAGGAGACATTGTGGCAGACGGCACCTCCACCTCCTGGTCGGGGGACACCGCCTTCGCCGTCACCATCGTACGTTTTTTTTTTTAGATTTCTTAAGAATGAATCAGTTTAGTAGATGGGGGGCAGACCTGCGCTTATGCCCTGGTAAGGAGACAATCTGTTACTACCCTGTGCAATCTCAAAGCTTCTTCTCCCTCGCGACCACCCACCATTTCTCTCGCTCGTTCCCTCTCCCTCTCCGCTCACTCATAAGTCCACAAAAGCACCCGTCCACTCACCACGCCCTCACCCACTCACCCTCTCCACCCCTCCTCTCTCTCCCCCCCAACCACCAGACTGGCACGCGCGACGACGAGTGGCAGCTCTCAGCCGCCCTCGGCCCCAGCAAGGTCACCCCCTACATGTCCTCCTTCCGCACGGCCTTCCTCACAGAGGCCGACTTCCAGTACATGAAGCGGCAGGGGCTGAACGCGGCGCGCATCCCCATCCCCTACTGGATCATGCAGGACCCCTCCCCCGAGTACCCCTGGGCCGCAGGCACGCGCGACCGCCTTGACTGGGCGTTCACCATGGGGAGGAAATACGGCATCCGCATCTGGCTCTCCCTGCACGTGCTCCCGGGGACCCAGGGTGGCACGTACGGGTCGAGAGACTCGCTCACGCTCTGGCCGCTCCCGGCCAACTACCGCAAGTCCATCCACCTGGTGGAGTGGCTCGGAAAGCGGTACGGCGGGAAGAGCGAGTTCCTCGGGATTGGGTTGGTGAACGAGCCGGTGGCGCCGTGGGCGTACGGGGTGCAGGCGGGCGTGTCGCTGCCGCTGCTGAAGAAGTACTACAGCGCGGGGTATACCGCGCTGAGGAAGGGCGCCAAGTGCGCGTTCATGTCCATGGAGGGGAGGATCGGGAGCAACATATGGGAGGTGCACTGGCATCTGTACGACAACGTGCACACGAACGTGATCCTGGAGTCGCACATGTACAATGTGTTCAATCCGGACCTGGTGAACAACAAGCAGATGACGGCCGCGCAGGAGGTGGAGTACACACGCACTACCATGCCCGCCAAGCTCAGGGACTACCAACAGGTGAGCAGTGTTTATGGTTGGTTTTTCTGGTGCTGTTCACCACTTTTTTGCTGGCCTTCTTTCCTGTTGTGCTTTTGAGGCGCCTCATAAGTGCTCCCTTCCCCCTGCCTCCCATCCCCCCCGGTGCAGTTTGGCCGGCCGGTGCTGGTGGGGGAGTTCTCCAACGCCATGGCGCACCCAGACGACAGCTACCAGGCAGCCTTCGGCAAGGCACAGCTGCAGGCCTTTGCCACCGCACAGGCCGGCTGGTTCTTCTGGTCACTCAAACATAATATCTCACTCGGTACGATCTGGGGAACGCAGGCGCTGAGGGGAAGTTAGGGGGTAGAGGATTGAGAGAATGTGCGGGAAGTTGTGAGTGTCCTGAGAGGGCAGGTTGTGGAGGGACATGGAGTGGCGTGACTGCGTTGATTTTTCTTTCTTCCTTTCCGCTGCATTGTGTAGTTTATCTGAGTCCTTTCATATGCCACCTTCAATGGCAGGTTACGAGCACTGGAGCTTCGTCAAGAGCAGAGAGAAAGGATGGCTTCCTCAAAAGTCCCCTGGCGTGTGGTGGTAGGATGTTATTACTGACCTGTTACATGGACTAGCACTATGTTACGAATGGTTCAATGTGAAATACATCTAGGTGCAGGACCAAACCAGTTAGTTCGGTAAATAGTTGAAAAGTGCATTTGTTGTTGTTTTTTCACAAGCAATTTCTATATGCGTTTCCATGTTCCGGTCTGGTTACGCATCATGCTCTATTCAACCTGATTAGGATATTTGAACACCGAAAAGAGCACTTTCTGCATAGATGCGTGGGTGGCGCGTGTGAGATGTGGAGGGTTTTATTACATCACAGGCGTGTTATGCCAGCGCCGAAAAGCTTCCGCAAATTCCGTTCCAGCACATGTTCGACACGGAAATTCTGACTCTGGATTCGTTGTCTTACCCCATTCAACCTGCCCGACCATCTGGAAAGCCTGCCGGGCAGCACCAAAATGACCTTTTGGCCATAGCGCCACGTCATAATTGTGAACTTTTAGCGGCCATTTTCAGGTGCATGCAACTTAGTCGGGAAACACTGTTCCGGTGCATGCTATCGCGTCGTGTTCTCCCCTCTGTTGTTTCTGTTTGTACACCTCCGCCACGAAATACACTGTTCTATCAGGGGATGCTACCCATGCGACTGACACCCACTCGCGCAGCCCCTCTCGCACGAACTCGTCGTCCAACCACACCAGTCGCAGCCTTACTGCGAGCAAGGTCGATACATATCGCAACATACCTGACTAAAAACGGGCAAAAATAATAATACCCAATTGGGAACGTATGCGACTAGGGAGAAATCAACCCTAAACACCAGGGCGGTTCCCGTGCTTATGGTTGAAACTCCCGTAAACTGTGTCCAGGTTCCCTAGTTTCCATTTAAATACTTTTTTTCTTCCACTGCCTTACGGAATATCAACCCGAAACACCAGGGGGTTCCCGTGTGTTGGGTTGATACTTACCGAACAAAATCCAGGTTTCCCTAGGAGTTGTTTTTTTTTTCCCCTCTTTTCGGGCTTCCCTGTGAGGCCGATTTTGTGTGTTGCGTGTGTTGCGTGTGCTGCTTCTGTTGAGCGGGTTGCATCCCCTGACGAACAGTGTTGTTTGTGGCGAATGTGTACAAACAGTGGCAACAGAAGGAGAAACACGACGGGATAGAATGCACCTGAACTGTATTTCCCGACTAAGTTGCATGCACCTGAAAATGGCCGAACTTTTAGAGTCAGCGCGCTCCGTCCCATTTCCTGACCATACACAACATAACAGCCGTCCCCATCCATCTCTCTGCTCCACGAATCTCGCTTGATCCGAGTCTGGTGACGCGTGACTCGACTGGACCTATGCTTGCCCAACCACATGTGGTTTGGGAGGAGCTCCCACTGCACAAGGCGCAGCAAACCATACCTGACGGTTCGGTCAGCCATGCCGCCGCCAAGACTCATCGCAACAATTTCATCGTCGCGTGTCGTCTCAGGTGGTTTTCTTCTTCTCCTGCGACCCGCTGCGAGAGATAGGGTGGGGGGGTGGAGATGGTGGGGAGGAGAAACGAGGAGCTCCTACATGCCCTCTATCTGCAATCCCATTTCCCACTTCCCGCACGCTTTCATCTCCAATTGCCAACAGCACGAACGCTACAGAACCTACACACTGCTAGCAAACCGTTTATGCTCTTTGTTTAGTGAAGTCGGACATACCCTTCGCATTTTACATCTCTGTTACTCGACGACTTTCCTTCATATTCGACTTTCCCCATGACGCTCACGCCGCTCCACCCCCTTACGCCGAAGACTGTTCCGCACGTTGTAGCAGCCGCCGCAAAGTCGCCATTCTTGAGAGGTCCTGGAACGACCTGCCATACCACCTCAGACTGCGTCGGGTCGGCCCACTCGGAGAATTGCCCGATGCGACAGACGCACCACAGAGCAGGATTTCACGTCGATGTAGACCCTATGATTGAAGACGCCTGGGAAGCTGCTGTCTCCTCAATCTCGGTTAGTGAAAATAACAAACTCCCCGCTCTCTTTTCAATTGCTGTCCCCCTCCGGTTTGCAGTGCCGTTGTCCCTTATCTCCCTTCTCCTCCTTACGCGATTAATAATCTTTCCCTCGCCAACCACCCGTTTCCCGCGATCCTGACACTCTGTGCAGAATGTAATGGAGGGCCCGTCGAGGGCGCTCAAGGATGGCGGCGCGTGCATCTCCAAGAAGGCGCATGAGATGAGCGAAGCCGTCTTGAAGAGATTTGACCACGCTGCAACGTGACAGCAGCACCGCAGCCACGTCACGCTACTGAACATGGGCTGGCCTGTTGCAACTCGCTCGCTCGCTGGATGATGCACTTCGCTTACCATAACTTACACGGCTCTGCAGGACCTCCTCCTCACGTTCCTTGCAACAATCCTACAGTCGAGACTCTGCAGCTTACAGCTGATTATGCACCGTATGTCAGATTGTGTGCAGGATGAATGCTTATCCTGCTCCAGGAGTAATTTACGTTCCCGAAGCCTTTCTTTCGTCCTTTAGACTGTACAGCATGTTTTAGTAGGGATCAATAAAAATTCATATGCAGGCCAACGTGAACAACCTTTCTTATTGTTTTTGCATTGGTACATGTTTTCAAAGAATATGGAGCAGATTGTATATGCGGCTTATCACGCGGAATCCTCTGCGTTCAGCGCCCACTGTATTGTCACTGTCACATCACTTTAACGACAAATCACACCGCGCCACGTCCGCACAAACAGACTTGCGCCATTCACGGTTCAACTGCCTGTTGTCGACACATCGAAATGCGTCAGGCTGACATCACTCAAGCAGGAGTGTGTTGCGCCATGCGTCATCGATCCATTCATTCGTCACCGCCATGCGGGCGGGCATGCATCACTCTCCCCTCCTCCGCATATTCCCTCGCCTGACTATTATCCCCCTCCGCGCCAGCCAATTCGCTTAGCTCAATTCGCGCCTTGTTGCCTGTTGTATGGGGGTGTGGTTCGTCGACTCTCCTTGCACTGCGACTCGCTCAGGGAAGCTTTGTGACTCTTCGTGTCTGGTTCGGGCGTTACTGACGGCTCCGTTGGGAACGAATTCCCGGTTACTGGTCCACATGCCAGTTACCGCTTTGCCGCTTCTTGAAACACACGACGACTGAGACGTCGTACTATTGCACTCGCCGCCGTTTCGCCAACCACTGAAGGTTCCAGCTCCTACTTTTTTAAAAACGGGCCACGTTTCGTCTTTTCCCGCACCGCTTCGTGCAACCGCCGCTCCATCACCTCCCGCAACCGCCGGTCATGTCGCGCCGGTCCCTAACGTGCGCAGTGTCGCCTTCCGCAAGGCATTCAAGCGATCCAGATGACTCCCTTCCGCGCCGATCGCGCTCTCGGCAATTCCGCACCATACGATTGACCGCGACTGATGTCGTCTCATCGTCGCCGGTTATTCTCGTCCTCGCAGCGCTGCAGCTGCTGCTGCGTATGTCGGCGCAAGGTCCGTGCGCCGCGAGTGCAGCTGCGACCATGGTGAAGGACGCTCAAACAACCGCTCTGTCCGCACCTACGGGCGCCGTGATTCCAGGCGTGATTTCAGGCGTGATTCCAGGCTTTGCTTCGGAGAGACCATCAGTGCAGGCCAGGGACGCAGCGGGCCGTGGTACTACTACTAGTAGCGCGGAGATGGTGCGGGGCGCGGAGTCAGTCAGGAGTCCACGTCGGACGGAATGGGAGGACTGCTGTATGTTCCACGACCCATGGCCTCCCATGGCCTCCCATGGCATTCCTCGTATACATGGCCTTTGATCACCTTGTCTCGCCACCTCTCCTATTCGCAATCAGCCGTGATTTCACTCCAGCCCGTTCCCGTATTTCCACAGCTTTGTCAGCCACACAACCCGTGCAACAAACCCCCCGTATGTCAATTCTCCCTCTCCGTGTCTCCATCTCCCACTTGATACTTGCTTGATTGGTTCGGTCGCGTGGCCATGGCATGGCAGCGCGCTTGCCAGCAGTGGAGGTGCAGGACGTGTTCATGGCGCCGGACCCTCCAGTCATCGGCCACCCATTTGAGCTGCAGCTGCCGGCAGTCGCCAGTGAGTGAACCGTTCTTCTTCTACCCTGTGCATTCAACTCAACCCGTGTGCTGAACCGTGCAGCGTGCAGTGCACCTTCTAGTACCTCACTTGCCTTTTCGTTGGAGTGCGCTGTTGGTTGCCACGCCACCAAATACCATTTCCGGGATCCTTCCTGTGTGCATGTGCCTCTCTTGCGTGTGTGCCGCTGCGTCGGTGTGCTCTGGGTGCACGGGTCTGCTTCTAGACTTGAATCGTTTTTCAGCCCATCACATCTCGTCCATGCATATAAATCATATCCGCCATTCGGCAGGCCTGTGGGCGCCATAGGTGCTGCAACTTAGCTGCTTGGGCCTCTTTCCCTCTCTCTCCCCCTCCCTCCCTCCCTCCCTCCCCCCCTCCCTCCCTCCCTCCCTCCCTCCCTCCCTCCCTCCCTCCCTCCCTCCCTCCCTCCCTCCCTCCCTCCCTCCCTCCCTCCCTCCCTCCAACCCCCTTCAACCCTCTCCATGTGACCAGGGCAAACTATCAAAGGAGGCGAGGTGGCAGTGACAATAAAGTTCCACGGGCTGCCCGTACATGTTGAGTACACGGACATTTGCCAGCAGACAGCGTGTCCTGTGCTCCCTGGGAGCTTCACCTTCCAGTACTGGCGGAATGTCCCCAGCCTAGCATTCCCTGTAAGCACACCCTTTATAATTCTCTGTGCTCGACCGCCTCCCTGGCTCGTGCTCTATCTTGATCGCGTATTCACGATCCAACCCTTCTCTGTTATCTGTCACCGCCCTTACGTCACCCTCTTGTCCGGTCGATCCCATGTGTGTCGTTGTCTTCAGGGGCCTTACTATGCACACCTCATGGCTACTGATCGTAACAACACGGAGCTTTTCTGCATAATCGTCACGCTTAAAGTAGTTAGAGGGGTAGCAGGGGAGGGGGTGGGAGTTGGGCTTGGTTCTCGTGCCAACGTTGGTCGCAGATAAGGTAGACAAGACCATGTGTATTTTCGTACAAGGTAGTGTACATCCTTTGTGCTATCAGTAAGGGTACAGTCCATTCGAGACGTGGCTTGTCCAGAATGTACGGTACACGGCACAAACGAGTGTACCGCTCCGTATCAAACTACCCCGAATTTCACCCACAAATTGAAAATTGTTTGGAGTTCGGTGTGGTTCGTTACAAAGGGTACACGTGTTTGTGATCTGTACATTGTGGACATGTCACGTCCCCAATGTACCATAATGCTAGTTACAATATAGAGTTTTTTCAAGTACGCTGCGCATATTCCACAGTTTTTATTACAGTCCCACATTGCATAGGTGCCCATCTGTTTTGTGTCATCATGCCCAAGCCACCCACCTAGACTGGTAATTGTAAGGAATTTTCTCGAATTCCTTATCGGGGTTGACTACTGCGCGTACAACCCGATTTTCGGAGTTCGCACGTTCGGGCGATTTCCACGCTGCCGAAGCTCCTCGCGTCGCTTTCGGCATTTCCATCGCCAAACCTGCACCCAACCTCGCTCACCCGAGGTTTCCTCCTAGCTAGGCTAGCCCTACATTAGTCTGTGCATTCATTGTATTCTGAATTGATTCAGTCACAGTCTCGTTATTCGTTTACCTGCGTACTCTCTTTTACAACTCATAACACCTGGTATCAGAGCTACTTTCCTAGTTCACCCCGCTTTTCGAGGGTAGTTTGGTGGCATAGGGTGTGGTTGGTTTAGTGACTACACGACGGTTGGCTGCAGAGGTTGTTAATTCAATCCTGCCCGACTCCGATAGTTCGTGTTTTCACTTGCCGGGTGGCCACGGGTACCCAACTGCCCACCAGACGTAGTGCTAGACACATGGATCAGGAGGCTGTTAACCGACTGATGGCGCAAGTGGCAGAAATGGCGAAGGGTATGGAATCGCTGCAAGCGGAAGTGACAACGCTGAAGGAGGAAAACGCCGAGCTACGCCGGACGCGAGGTGAAGCGCGTCAGACGTCGCCTGTGGACGAAGGCGAGGGCAACAGCCAAGTGATGGGCAATCCTCTGGACGAGCTCACACGTGACTTCGAAGAAGAAGATAGGCAGCGAGCGGCAGCAGCACCAGTTGCAGTCACGACGATCAAAATCAAGCCCGTCAACCCGCCCCCGTTCAATCCTACGGATAAAGCGGTTACGGTAAAAGGGTGGCTGTTCGGGGTTGAGGTTTTCTTCACTGCAGCCGGAGTTAATGACGATGCCACGCGCATTAATTACGCAGTCTCGCTTCTTCGAGGTGCAGCACTTGAATGGTGGCGCCGGACCTTGGAAACAGGGACGCCGACAGGTGTGACACATGCGGCAGACGGGACCTCTACAGTGGTTAATCAAGTTGCAGAACCAATCTTCGGTGTGACCAAGATACGCACATGGAAGGAGTGGGGCGCAGCCTTACGGGATCGCTTCGAGCACGTATCCGCCTCGGAGCAAGCTCGCATGAAGCTGCGTGCATGGTCGCAGATGGGATCTGTCCAAGACTACACGGCGTCATTTATGGGCCTCGCCGACCAGGTCGATGACATGTCGGAAGCTGAGCGGTTGGATAAATACGTGAGCGGCCTTAAATACGAGATACAGTTTGAGGTTCGTCGCAGCCGCCCGACATCGTTTCTAGAAGCAGTACGCGTGGCAGAGTCTACTGATGCGCTGATGCAGTACGCGAGAACGGCTTCCAGGGATGGGAGAGGTTTTCGTGGCCAGACCCATCGGGCCACAATCAACGCCGTCCATACACCCGACCACCTTCCAAAGGGTCAGTGTTTCCGGTGTGGGAAGGTGGGTCACTGGAAGAACGAATGCAAGGAGAAGATGCCGCTGACAGGGGACGACAGGAAGGAGCAGGGAAATGGGAAGAGTCAGTAAGTAACGGGCCCTTTACTGACTATGCTCCGTCGCCCGAACACCACCATCCCCACCGAGTCGTGGTTCCGATTCATGCAATCGATCGCACTCGGCCGAATAACGGGGATAATCATGTGGATCACCCTGTGCTGGTCGCTGGCAAGGTGGGGAAACATCATCTGAAAATGTTCGTCGATGGAGGGGCCAGCCATAGCCTCTTCAACTTGGCGAGCGCAAAAAAATGCAACATGCAACTTGACAGGTGTCTACCCGAAATCGACGCACGACTCGTGGATGGGACGCCTCTGGCGATAACGGAAGAAACACGGACGGTGCGGATCGAGTGCGGCGACAATTTCGGCTTCAGCATGAAGTTTCTCGCGACGACGCTGGACGGCTGCGACGTGCTGCTGGGACGTGATTGGCTGCGACGACACAACCCCGTCATCGACTGGACAACGGGATCGTGCTGCGTCAGCAAGCACGAGGGGCTAATTAAGTTGCCTGCATGGACACCTGACTACATCCAAGCCCCGTGCGTCAAAGCCATCACCATCGCCCACCACTTCAACAGGGGTGCGCAGCTGTTCGCCGTCCGCTTGCGCGAGTTGGCAGTTGACACCGACGGAAAAGACATCGAGAAGCTGTGTGCAGCTGTACCTCCGGATTTAGCGGAGCTAATTCGACAGTACCCCGACATTTTCCCGGACGATTTGCCACCTGGGCTGCCACCCGAGAGACCCGAAGACCACAAAATCCAGCTGGAACCTGGCGCGCAACCTACTGTTCGGACACAGTGGCGGTTGACCCAACCGGAACTCGAGGAGCTACGCCGACAAATTGTTGCACTGTTGGAGAAAGGCTTCATTCGGCCGAGCACCTCCCCGTTCGCGGCACCGATCCTGTTCACTCCAAAGAAGGACGGCGGGCTTTGCATATGCATCGATTATCGCGCGTTGAACCGGGTGACCATCAAATCTCGCTACCCAATCCCACGCACCGACGACCTTCTCGATCAACTTCGCGGCGCTCGCTACTTCTCGAAAATCGACTTACGTGGCGGTTACCACCAGATTCGGGTCTTCGCCGACGACTGTCACAAGACCGCGTTTCGTACACGCTACGGGAGTTACGAATTTACAGTGATGCCTTTCGGCCTCACGAACGCGCCTTCGACATTCCAACTGACCATGAACAGGGTTTTTCGCGATCTTCTAGACCGATGTGTCATCGTCTATTTGGACGATATCCTGATTTTTAGCAAGACACGGGAGCAGCATCTCCGCGACCTGGACGCAGTATTTAAACGGTTGCAGGAGAACCGCCTCATCACCAAGGGCTCTAAGTGCGAGTTTTTTAAGCAGGAGTTGGAGTTTTTAGGGCACGTCATCTCCCGCGACGGCATTAAAATTGACCCGGCGAAGATTAAAACCATACAGGAGTGGAAGGCCCCGACTAATGTCACGGAGCTTCAGAGTTTTCTGGGGTTCGTGAATTACGTCAGGCGGTTTATCCCGAATATGGCGGGGATAACCGGCCCGCTGACCGACCTACTGCACAAGAACAATAATTTCGTGTGGGGGGAGGAGGCAGAGGCGGCTTTCCAGGAGCTCAAGAATTTTCTCGTTTCTCCTCCTGTACTGCGCATCGCCGACCCATCGAAGCCGTTCGAAGTTGTAACCGACGCCTCTGATTTCGCCATCGGAGCAGTGCTTCTCCAGGATTTTGCGTGATTCGTCACGGGGATGCCAGCTGGGCCGTCCGGCAACGACGCTGTTCTCGTCGTCGTCGATCGCTTCACGAAAATGGCGCACTTCGCACCATGCCGAACGACGATCACAGCCGAAGAAACTGCGCGCCTCTTCATCTCAACGGTCGTGCGACTACACGGCATCCCTTCGGCGATCATCACCGACCGGGACCCGAAATTCTTATCCAAGTTTTGGAAGGAGACATGGGCGCAGTACGGCACGAAGCTACAGTTCTCATCGGCATACCACCCACAGACGGACGGACAAACAGAGCGCACTAACCAACCAGACGATGGAGCAGCTGATACGGACAAACTGCCCCGACCCCGCACGATGGGAAGATTCCCTCGCAATGTTGGAATTCGCCTTCAACAACGCACCGTCGAGCACGACTAATCACTCCCCGTTTTTCCTAAATTACGGGATGGATCCGACGGTCCCCACGGCGACTTCGCTCGAAAACCCGGTCCCGAGGTCACAAGCTTTTGTGACGGAACTTCAGCATATACGCGAGAAAGCAGCAGACGCAATTCGCAAGGCGAATATTACTTCCCGCAAATACACCGACCTCCTACGCCGGGAACTCGTCTTGACTACTGGGCAATTAGTGCTCCTCGACACGAAGAACCTGCACCTGCCCGGTCCATCGAAACTACGGCCCCGATTTTGCGGACCGTTCAAGATTATCAAGATGGTGACACCTGTCACCGCGAAGCTGTTGCTACCAGACGACTGGCGCATTCACGACGCCTTCCACGTAAGCCTGCTTCGCAAGTTCGTGCCAGCCACGACCGACATTGCACGTCAGCAAGCTGCCCCGACAGCTCGACCTGTCCCAGAGCCGACACTCGACCCATTGAAAATTCTCGCCCATCGAGTTCGACTTGACGCAGCTGGCCGACACGTGGATTTCCTAATCCGCTGGACTGATCGCACCAGTGAGGACGACACGTGGGTGCCATCCGCCTCGCTCGACGCCTCGCCACTTGTTGGTGATTATTTGGCGCGCAAGCGTGTTTCGGATATTGACCGCCTTTCTTAAAGCCCGAGTCTAGAATGGCAAACGTTCAACTTCAAGATTCTTGAACTTGTTTTCGTCAAGAACAGGGTAACCAGGTTCAGAAAGCTGATCTCTCGCTACCCACCGGGAATGGAGTTGGTGGGCCAGAAGGTGATTGGCCAAATGCCCCACAGCAAAAACACGGACGAGCCTCGCCAGAAACAAACAAAGGCAAGTATCACTGTTCACACTTTCATAACTTAAAACTCGACAATACCTTTCTAGACTCGTAGCATAGTGGGCTCCATAGCCCATATTTTCGGCAATAGTCAGCATAGTGGCGCCCAACTCCTTGCCGTATGATAAGACTTTTGTAGCACATAAGGATGGAACTTCCCGGCGACTTTTTCGCGCATAACAAATCCGATCTCGAACATTGCTTGGAAGGCATGACCCTCAGAGCTTCGCCACCGTGAGACTTACTCGTCGCCGCTGAAGGGTATCCTAGCCCGCACTCAATGCCGGTCCGCAATCACACAAGGCCCGCCCTCACTCCCGTCGTCGTCACTCCCGTCGTTCTCTCTCTCCCGTCACACTCTCATTCCTGTCGCGTTCGCACTCCCGTCGCTCTCTCACACCCGTCGCGCTCTCACTCCCGTCGCGCTCTCGCTCAGGTCGCGCTCTCACTCCCGTCGCTCTCTCACTCCCGTCGCGCTCTCACTCCCGTCGCTCTCTCTTTCCGGCGCGCTCTCACTCTCGTCGCTCTCTCGCTCCCGTCGCGCTCATTCTACCGTCGCGCTCTCACTTCTTTGCGCTCTCACTCCCGTCGCTCTCTCACTCCCGCCGCGCTCTCATCTCCCGTCACTCTTCCCCCTCCCTACGCGCTGCTCCCACCTCCCTACGCGCTGCTCCCCCCTCCCTACGCGCTGCTCCCCCCTACGCACTGCTCTCCTCTCCCTACGCGCTGCTCCCCCCTCCCTACGCGCTGCTCCCCCTCCCTACGCGTAGCTTCCCCCTCCCTACGCGCTGCTCCCCCCTCCCTACGCGCTGCTCCCCCCTACGCGCTGCTCCCCCCTCCCTACGCGCTGCTCCCCCCTACGCGCTGCTCCCCCCTCCATACGCGCTGCTCCCCCCGCCCTACGCGCTGCTGCCTCTGACCGCCGCGCTGCCTTCCCCTGACCGCCGCGCTGCCTCTATCCTACTCCCATCCATCCCATTCCCGTCTCTCCCTCACTTGCCCTTCGTCCGTTTGCCCCTTGCCCCCTCCCCCTGACTCGGTGCCTCTGTTTCCCCCTTTTCGGCCCTCCCTCCCCCTTAGGCTCGCGACCTGCCCCTCCATTTCCCATCCGTGCGTTCCCGTCTTTTCCCGCTTGATCTACATTCCCGAGTCACCATTGTGTTGATCTCTCGCCCTCTCCTCCCTTACCTATTTAACCATGACCTTCCTTGACACCCTGCATTGCTCTCTCACTTCCCTGCCCCCCACTCACTCCCATTGCTCACACACGTCCCATACAAAATTCCTCTTTATCATATCTGTTGCTCAGTTCCCTCCATGCTGTTCTCCATGCTTCACTCTCCCTCCTCTCCTCTCTGACCCACCACGCTTCTCTCCTCTATTCCCCCACTGCTTCTCTCGCCACTCCCCCCTTTACCCATGTTGTCCAATCCCTCCTAGCCCCTCTCCTCCTTTCCGTCTCAGCCCATCTCCTCCTGCCCTTCCCTACTACTCTCCTCCTTTCCTTCTCAGCCCCAACCCGACGTACCCCAGTGCACCCTCACACGGCGTGAAGCGGCATCAATAGTGCACCTTGCGATAGGGTTGGTGACTACTTCCACCCAGCTTCCACAATCCTATCATCCTAGGGGTAGGGCTACATCCCCACCCTGGGCCCCCGTCCCCCACTGCCCCCCTCACCCTCACCTCAGCTCTTTCCAAACTCCCCTCGCCAGATGCTGCCCCCAGGAGCCACATCCCTCGCTGCTTCCATTGCCACTCCCCGCTCTGCCTCCCTCAGAGGATTCCTCTGAGCCCCTCTCGTCCTTTCACCCACAGCCCCTCTCCTCCTTTCCCTCTTGACCCCGCTCCTCCTTTCCCTCCTTTGCCGCCCCTTCCCCCTTCCTCCTACCCCCTCTCCCCTCCCCACCCCCCTCTTCCCACTGGAAATTCAAGTGAGGGTTACGAGGGTTACGAAGTTATAGAGGGAGGTTGGATGAGAAATGGCTAGGAAGGGAGGGGTTTAGTGGAATGTGAGTGAGGGTTTAGACGAGATTTTGCATGTGTTTTTAGGGCTAAAAGAGTGAGTTTCCTCTACCATTGCGGTGGGGAACACTAGTGTGTGTGCAATTACCTCGCTACAAAGAAGTGGTGGAGGATGGTGGTGGGATGAGGGGTTTAGGGTTATTTACCGGCTTTATAGAATGTGTTCTAATCCCCGGTTCTGTATGTTGGCGTGGTATGCGGAATGGTAGCTTCGGTCCGCGACGAACGCCAAGAGAGGGCCGGCCGCGCTTAGCGTGGGTAGTTGGAGATGTCACCTACATAACAATTGCAGAAAAGGTGGCGTCATTATCTTGTAATTCGATGGGAATTGTTACTGGACGTTATGAGGAGAGAGGAGAGTGGACATTTTGCGAGGAGTGGACACACTCACCTCACCTCCGCTCACTGAAGGGGGGTTAGCCTGCCCTGCCCCTCTCCTCAAATCCAGCCCAGAGGGGGGAGCACAACCCCCCACACACTCACCTCACCACCACTCACTGAAGGGGGGTTAGCCTCCCCTGCCCCTCTCCTCAAATCCAGCCCAGTGGGGGGAGTTCAACCCCCCACACACTCACCTCACCTCCACTCACTGAAGGGGGGTTAGCCTCCCCTGCCCCTCTCCTCAAATCCAGCCCAGTGGGGGGAGCACAACCACCCACAAACTCACCTCATACACACACTCTGAGGGGGGGTTAGTCTCCCCTGCCCCTCTTATCAAATCCAGCCCAGAGGGGGGAGCACAACTCCCCACACACTGATGTCATACCCACTCACTGAAGGGGGGTTAGCCTCCCCTGCCCCTCTCCTCAAATCCAGCTCAGTGGGGGGAGTTCACCCCCCCACACACTCACCTCATACCCACTCACTGAAGGGGGGCTAGCCTCCCCTGCCCCTCTCCTCATATCCAGCCCAGTGGGGGAAGTTCAACCCCCCACACACTCACCTCATACCCACACATCGAGGGGGGGTTAGCCTCCCCTGCCCCTCTTATCAAATCCAGCCCAGTGGGGGGTGCACAACCCCCACACACTCACCTCATACCCACTCACTGAGGGTGTTCTGCGTCCCCTATGTTTCACCGCAAACCCACTCACTGAGGGGGGTCTCCCCTCCCCCCCAGCTCATTTCAGTATATCCTCCCCACCTGGGGAGGTCAGCCTCCAAACATCCTCCTCTCATACCATCGCACTGAGCGTAGCTTGGCTCCTCCCTGCTGATACCTCTCCCTTTTTTTTTCTCACCGGAATGTTTCCTGATTTGGTGGAAAGGGGGTGCCTCTCGTTAGCGCATAGTATCAACGACGTGCCTTCCTGTCCGCGCCTTCACGTCTGCGCGTTCCCGTCTTTCAATTTCCTTCCGAGCCTTATCTTCTGCGCCTTCCCGAACGCGCCTTCCCGTCCTTTGATCAACGTGGCCGACTTTCTGTCTGCTCGTTCCCGTCCGGGCGATACGGTGCACTAGGACTGAAAATATGGTGCATGTTGGGAGTAAGGAGAGGGGCAGTCACGAGATGAGGGGAATGGGGGTGCATCGAAGGCACGCTGACAATGGGGACAGGAGTAGAGCTCCCATACGAGGCATACGTGGTGCATTCGGTACATCTGAGGTTGGATAGCTTGAATGCGCGACGATTACTTGTGAAGCCTTTTCTGCACATTGCATTCCTTCTGTCAGCGCATTGGGTTGTGAGTAGAGGAGTGGGGAAACCTGATGTGAGGGTTTTGGGCGTGCGTCCATGTGATACTTGCATTACGTCTAGAGTGGAGAGTGCTGTTTGCCACCAGGCCGCTCTCTTGCACCGCGGTTTCCGTGGTCATGACAGGCAGTTCGGTGCACCTTCCCGTCCGCGCCTTCCTCTCCGCAATTCCTTCCAGTCCGCGCCTCCCTCCCGCCGCGCTGCCTTCTCCGCACCTTCCGCAACGCGGTTCCTTCCCGTCCGCGCCTTCCGCGTTGCTCTTGCTCCGCCGCGCTGCCTTCCGCGCTGCTCTTGCTTCTTGTCAGAGCCTTCCGCGCTGCTATTGATTTCGCGTCCGCGCGCTCCGCGCTGCTCTTGCTTCCCGTCAGCGCCTTCCGCGGTGCTCGTGCTTCGCGCCCGCGCCTTCCGCGGTGCTCTTTCTTCCCGTCCGCGCCTTCCGCGCAGCTCTTGCTTCCCGTCCGTGCCTTCCGCGCTGCTCTTGCTTCCCGTCCGCACCTTACGCGCTGCGATTCCTTCCCGTCTGCGCCTTACGCGCTGAGATTCCTTGCCGTCCTCGCCTTCCGCAATGCGATTCCTTCTCTTCAATCCCTTCGCTCTCTCTCCTCTCCCGTCCGTTCGTTCCCTTCCTGGCGTTCCCTCGCGTGCCCCTCCCGTCAGCGCGTTCCCGTCCGTGCCTTCCTGGCCAACCCTATCCGGTCACGCTTCCCCTCCGCGTCTACCAGTCTCCGTCACAGTGTTCCTTGCTGGTGTGTGTAAGGTGAGAGGCTTTCCGCTGATCGTCTCTGTTTACACTACCATTCTCAATCGTGTTGCCTAAACGAAAGCCCATGCGTTGTGACGCTATTGTTTTGAGACCTCAACATGAGTTGAGCGACTCCGCGGCTATTGGCTGCTTATGAGGAACGTTCTTCCGTCCTATACCCTGGCCAGTAACGTTCTAGTAGTGGCCTAATGTGGTTGAGGCCTAATGACGCCAGATAGGAACAATGTGTAACCGTCCCAGTGTTGTCTAAACCTGGTGAACGTGACGCTCCGTAATCGTCTTAGCCTATGATAAAGTAGGTAGAGCTACGCTAGAATTCGGGTGGTAGGTGACGCATGTCGAGTGCCTTTTTGGTAGTTGAGTATGTGTATCAGTGGGCTGGATGCTGTACTTCTTTGAATCGCGTGGTGTGATCGCCAAGGAACAAGGGGTCGAAGCTTGCTTTGTCGTTTGTGCTCGTTCAAGATTCTTGAAGTAGAACATCGTACAGTGCGAAACACTTTTGGGCATTCCACTTTCGCCAACTGTTTCAGGCGAACTTTGCTCTCGTCACACTTCGCCCAACCAGTTTCAAATTCAGTATTTATGAACCCTTGCCATTCTAGACTCGGGCTTTAAGGGGGGGGGGGGGGGGGGGGGGGGGTGGTGTAAGGAATTTTCTCGAATTCCTTATCGGGGTTGACTACTGCGCGTACAACCCGATTTTCGGAGTTCGCACGTTCGGGCGATTTCCACGCTGCCGAAGCTCCTCGCGTCGCTTTCGGCATTTCCATCGCCAAACCTGCACCCAACCTCGCTCACCCGAGGTTTCCTCCTAGCTAGGCTAGCCCTACATTAGTCTGTGCATTCATTGTATTCTGAATTGATTCAGTCACAGTCTCGTTATTCGTTTACCTGCGTACTCTCTTTTACAACTCGTAACAGTAATGAACAATCTAATTTAAGTCTCGGTTATTATCAAACCTCGCTGCAGCCACCTCAATATTCCGCAGTACCGTTACCACTGATTATAATGGCTAACGTCCGCTCATCATTAGTTGACCTCTGTGTTGCCGCAATAATAGCCAATCCTCGCTCGCTCATTCAGACGTGCCTGTGTTGCTGGTTTTATAGCTTGTTTGTGCGTGTGCATTTGTTATTCTTGTTGGTTATATCGAGGACGGCCATGGTCCCAACACCATGGGAGATTTTGATTATCAGGGCAGGATATGGAGGAAACGACCAGGCGATACGATAATTGTGTTGCAAGCGACTCGGTTGACTTTCTCTGTCACCCCCTGCTGCCCCTGTTTGGTTGTGTCGAGCCGAACAACCTACATAGAAGCATTTGTTTCATTTCCGTTTGACTCCACTGCTCTACAGCACTACCACCTCGCAAACTCCTTGCAACAGAAAACAGAGCAAGATTCTAGGACGAAGTTTCGAAATCATACAGGGTAATCAGGCCTGCGGGAGGTGTCCCAGCCGGAGTTTCTTGCTGATGCAGCTACCGAACTTGTCGCACAGTACCCACCAACCACCAATAATGCACCTTTTGAATCAAGAGCACCCGGAGTGCACGAGGCGCCCTTTTGGAAGGGATTCCTACGAAAAGACGCATGTGTTACCAGTACTAGCGACCTTTTTGGTTGTTGGCCTTATAGCACCTATCCAAATTCCGATTCAAATCCTCTTGCGCTTCTTTTTGGGCTGCTATTCACGTAGTCTGTCAGTAACCAACAACGGGTTCCCGACGGACTGACGATAAAGGCAGAGATGAGGCTTTAATCTGACTTACGAATGTTGCAAGTCTCTCTTTTCTCGCGAATGCATCTGTCTTCACCGCAATGCACGGCGATGAAAACTTTCGGGGAGCACAACAATGGTGCTAATCCTTCGAACATCCTGGGGATTCAAGTACATCCGGACCCATACCGCTCTCCAACGTACTGTAACTAACAGGAAACTAGCAGTACATAAATGAGCCGCTCTAAACGCTCATGAAGTCTCGATATTTTTGGAGAAATTTCAGGATACGTGAGTTCCTCACAGCTACAATGCACACCATGTCATTGTTGCCTTCCCGAGTCGCTACTCATGGCAGACTGCTCCTGGCCACAGAGCGGAGTCTCATTTCAACCACACAGACAACCCTTCACAGAACTGGGCAGGCCAGCCAACGAATCCGGGTAATTTAGCAACCGCGACACGTCACCCCACCACTCACCAACTGACAAAACTCTGTACCAACTTGGTCGTGACAGCCTCCCCGCCAAACAGGCCAGAAAGTTGGGAAAACTTACTGACCTTCCCGCCACCTCCCTCTGTCCCTTTTCCCAGAATTCCCTCGCAACTCGTCGAGTCGCCAGACTGCAACCACCACTAGAGCGACACTCTCCATTCACCAACCACCTCCCCATACGTTTGGCCAGGTTTACCACACCACCTCCCGCAAAACACCCTTCAGTAAACCATGGCTCATGCGGGCTTGCCAGCCACTGCTACCTCTATTATATGTGTCTTGTGCTTCCCCATACGCTTCTACTGATTCCACGCATCTCATTCAGCGCAATTGTAGCAGCCGGGTCCACCAACCATCATCTTTCGCGCGCGATTCTCGCTCTTTCAGCTCTTGCATTATTACTGCCCCTGGCTGTCACAAACGGGATTGGGCAATGTCGTGCTGGCCTGGATTCATGCGCTCCACGCGTCCACGTTACCGCCGGGTTGCTCGTCAACAGAGCAGTGCAATGTCCCCTCGTGCTCCACCTAACTGACGAGTTATACATACGAGCCACTGAGACGCGCTTGCACAATAACTTCCTGTCGATCACTCTGCTTCCCTCCAGTGCTACGAATATCCGCCCCTAGCAGCACCCAAGCTTGACGCTCATCAGTTTTACAATACTTTTTCTCTCACTAGTCTCGCTCGCCCAATCAAACTCTACATTTTCACATGGAGAGCATTTGCCTCGTGGACTCGAATCGCCTCGCGGGTGATTATATACCTCGTGGATTTACCACACACCACATGCCCTCGAAGCGCGGCGGTCGTCGCGGCGTCTCTTCCTCTTCCAACGCCATGGCGTCGTCTTCCCTATGCGCCCCTTCTCTCGGACCGCACATCCCTCATCTCCCTTCTCCCTCACCTCCGCGCGTCTGGCACGCAGAACCATCACAGCAGCAGCAGCAGCATCCTCGACTTTTCCCGTCGTTCCTTCACGAGGAGGTGGCGGAGAGCGAAGACCCCTGCGACCGCACTGTACCTGCGCGCACCACCGATGCCGCCGCTGCCAATTTTGTCATCGATGGCACTGCAGCTACTGCCGTCAACGCTGCCAGCGTGGACTACAGTCAGCTTTCCGCCGTTGACTGGAGTCAACACGCCACGTTCTTCGCGCAAGAGAGGAGTGAGAACTTTGAATTGCAACCCGAGTCTCAGTCGCAACCGCTAGAGTCGTCCTTTCCCGGTGGATTCGGCGGCGGCTTCGATGGCAGCGTCCTTCACGGCGTGGACTGCGGCGCAGTGGATCACCTCGTCCCTGTTAACGCCTCCGCGGCTACGGAGGGGCCTTTTCGCGGAATCAGCGCCGCCGGCGGCGGGGATTTTGGGTTCTGCGCGCTGCCGCCGGCAGCAAGCTGCGGCATTGGCGCGGAGCACGTGCAGGAGGTAACCCCGCTGGCAGTTCTCGAGACGATTCGCGCGCTTCCGGGGCTAGCGGGAGGCCCTGCCGTGCCGCACCGGCCCATGTCCCGCGGCGCGAAGGCGGCCGTGGCGCGGGTGATGATGCGGCGGCGGGCTGCGGAGCAACAGCAGCAGAAGCGCCTGCAGCAGGAGGAGCAGCAGCAGCAGCAGCAGGGTAGCGTGAAACCGGCAGGGAGCGACGGAGGAGTGGTGGTAAAGACGGTCGAGACGGCCTTCCCACGTGGATCCTTCGCTGTGTTTAAGCAATCGCTGGAAACGCCCCTAGTAAGTGGCTGGGAGGAAGCGAGAGGCGTGGGGGAGGGCGCGGGGATAATGGAAGCGGAAGTGGTCGCGGAGGGGCGACAGGGCCCAGATACGGGGCTTTTCGAAGGGGGCGTCGCCGCTGGGCGAGAAGTGGCGTGCGCCAATGCGGGCGAGTCGACGCAGAGCGCAGGGACGAAGCGCGCGCGCGAGCTGGGAGTGGCGGAGGCGGTTCCGCCGGTGTCCAAGGCGGCGAGGGGCCTGTGGGAGGTGGTGGCTTGCCGCGAGCGCGCTCTGGCGGACGCCGCAGATGCAATCGACCCCGCGGACTTTGTGAACAACGCTATTGACGCGATTGGCTTTATTGGCGCGATTGGCGCGATTGGCGCGATCGACCTGGTGCAGGCAGCAGCAGGAGCAGGGGCAGTGGCAGTGGATGGACACGTAGAGGCGGCAGCTAGCGGTGTGCTTGGTGCAGGGGGTGTGGAAGAAGCAATGAGGGGAGAGCTGGAGTGGTTCGCGGGGGAGGAATTTGGCACATGCATGGGGAGCCTGTTCGGAGGGAAGGTTGATGGAGTGGCAGGCATGTGCGCAGGGCAGTGTGTGTGCTGCGGCGGCGTGAAGAACACGACCACTTGGACCGGATGCCATGACTTGACCATGGCTGGTGTTGCAGGGCTGTCTGATGATGTGATTAGCCAAGCCTGATGGCTTGATGGCTTGATGGCTGCAGCTGTAGTGACCACCCCTAGGTGCTCTTGCTGAATCCCTAATTTATTGGCCTTCTAGAGAAGTGCCACCAATAAAGGCTGTTGCTGCCTGGTTAGGGAATAACTACTGATGTACTTAACCATTAACATTTCATTTCTGTTCATACCGTGGTGTTATTTCTACCACTGAAAAAGAGCAGAATAATGTGAATTTCCAGTATCAGTTACTGTAGTAGGCAGCAAACGCAATGGCGGATTCACTTGGATGCAAGAATAATTGTTACTGTAGGGTGAAGAAGGCGGAGGTATTACCTTGGGAGGGGAGGCAATACCGTATCCCGCTACGGTGTCAAATACTACTGGACCTGACAGGAATTCCCAACGCGTCACACGTCGCGCCTTCGCGAGCAAGCTTATCGCCTATAATCCGCCGCTCTAACAGCACTAGTTGCAAACCTAAAAGCCATCCGATGTTTAGAATCAAAAGTGGCATCCATTTGAACTTACTGACGTGTGCTCTACCCTACGTACATATTCAGGTGCTCTCTGACCCACAGGTTGGTTAGGTATGATATTTCTGCGTTTCTCATAGAGCTTTGTCGAACTTCCCCCGCCATTTGCCAATAAGTCCAAGCGGCCATGGTGCCAGCCAAGCCAAGCTCACTCCACGCCACGCCCAACCACCCGGTGCGCCATGCTGTCAGCAGCGTCACCCAGCAGGAAGTCAGAGACAACTTCCAGGGCACGTCAAAGCTCGTCTCGTGTCATCACATCACCCTCTTCCTCTCGCTCACTCGAAACCCACCCAGGGAATCATATTGCCAGGGTGCCGTCCAGAAGGCCCACCCACCCTTGTCCGACAGGCAGCAAGGTTCTTGAGGCGGCTCAAGCAGCTCACTCAACGCTCACCCAGGGCGTCATGTTGCCGGTGTCGTCCAGCAGGCCCAGGTCCGAGAGGCGGCGCTCGGCGTAGTAGAGCAGCGAGTCGAGCGCGCGCATGCGCCGCACCGCCCACGACTGCAGCTCGCCCAGAGCGGCCTTCTCCCCCATGCGCACCACCACCGCCACCTGCTCCTTGCTGCCCGGTGCCAGCGAGGGGAGCAGCGCCGCGTCCTGAGAAGGAAGGGGTGATAAGATGACAGGGGCGGGCACGGAACGAAGAGCAGGGATGGGCGGTGTAGCAGTGGCAGACGAGCCTGTGATGTGATAGACAATACGTGCAACCGTTGGGATGGGAGACAGTCACTCTCAACGTGGCTGTGGCTGTTTTCGCAACGATGCGATTGACTGAGTGCTCTTGTCTTATCTTATCTGCTCTATGCATGCGCCGTGCACTTGACTCACCTCGTCGTATGTGGTGGGATAGGCAGCGAGCGCAGCAGCGCACGAGTCCATGATGCCCACACACACCGCCTCCTCGTTCTCCCGGCTCACCGCCTGCAGCAGGTGCTCCCACACACTGTTGCGGAACAGCGCCTGCATGGGAGAGAAAGAGAAGGAGGGACGGGGAGAATGTATTGACCTCTCCAAACTCCAGCAACCCACGCTGCACCACATCATCGTCACCCCCCACCTCTCCTCCTTCCAAACATCACCTCCAGCAGGAAAGCATCCGCCCTACCAGCCCCATCCATCATGCCACCATTTCAACCATCACCACCCTCCAACCACGCTCACAAACCGCCCGCCTCCCCTGCATCTGCCCTCCTCCCACCACAATCTCACCTCCAGCAGGAAGGCATCGGCCCCACCAAGAGCTACGAGCCTGAGGAACGCGACCATCTCGTCGGGCACGCCCTGCCCCGCTCAAACCCCATCAACCCTGCCAATACCGCTCGCCTCCCCTACACCTCCTCACCTGATCTTCCGCCAACATCTCACCTCGAGCAGGAAGGCATCGGCCCCACCAAGCGCCACAAGCCTGAGAAACGCCACCATCTCATCGGGCACGCCCTGCCCCGCCACAATGTCAAAATCAGCCACCGCCTCCAGCCCACTCTGCTCCGCTATATCCGCCTTGTCATCATAAAACCGGTCCGACTCAGCAATCTCTAGCGTCAGCGAGAACGCGTCGCGGTTGCCCGCGCCAGTGGCGGCGGCGGCTGCTGCGGCTTTCGCGGCGACCTTTGCTGCTTCGACTGCGGCCACGGCTTTCCCGACGGAGACCATGCTGGTGACGTTGCTCACGCCGCTAGTGACTGTGTTTACAATCGCGCCCAGGGCGCCTGATTTCTGCTGCTCCTGCTGTGGGTCTTGCGAGGAGGAGGTGGCGGAGGAGGTGGTGGAGGCGGGGGTGATGGAGGGCGGGTCGACGATGCCGTGATCTATGGCGAGCTGTGCGTTGGACTTGTCCTTGCCAAAGTTCACTGTGATCTGAGGCAGAGGGGCGACGATTTGGAGGGAGGGACAGGGGCATCGCGGAGGGTGGAGGAAAGGCAGGGGAGAGCGACAGGGCATTGAGCAGAGCAGAAGCAAGGGGCTTAAATGCTCTTGCGGCACCTTAGAAAGCGTCTCAGCTCAGCACACTGTATTGATGAGGGGGAAGGAGTGGAGAGGAGGTATGGGGTGCGTGTGTGGGTGCAGGGGGTGTGTGGCGGGGGTCTTTCCAGCTGCCCTGCCCCTTCTCGTACGAGCGCCTGGCAGTGCCTGTCACCACTTTTTTATTCGACTCAAGAAGGAGGGGCGAGGGGGATTGTGTGCTGTGGGTTGTATGGTATGGTGTGTGTCTGTGTGTGGGTGGGAGGGGGAGGGCTCACTCACCAGCTGGCCCTTCTCGTACGAGCGCCCTGCAGGGCCTGTCACCACGTCCCGGCCGGCAGAGAAGAGCCCTCCGCCCACCGACCTCGCCTGCCACTTGCCCTCGGGGGAATCCGTGCTGTGCGACACCTGCAGGGCGCGCGTGGGAGAGAGGAGTGAGGGCGGACAGGCAGGCGGGCGCAGCGTGGGGCGCAGAAGCGTGGGTCCTTGTGCAAGCTGAGACAGCACCCTTCCAGAGGCTTGTTTCAATTCAACAACAAGACAGCAACCTTCCAAGATAATCGTTTTCTCCCTCACCTCACCACAATCCCTCAAGCCCACCTCTTCCCTTTTCCCCAGTGCCATGAATGGGTGTGATGTTTTAGAAGGCGGTGTGATATATTTCGCATGGACTCATAAGTCACCTCTGTCACCCCTGCCCCATGCAGGGGGAATGAACATAGCGCAGAACAGCATGCCAAGAGCCCCTAGGGCTTCAAACAAAAGTAACGAGCCCTGCCGTTGCTAGCAGCATGAGGGGGCACAAACAATCACAGTGCAGGGCGCAGCCCACCCACCCACCCACCAGGTCGAGCAGCGGCACGAGGGCGACGTCGTCGCGGGAGAAGGGCGGGAAGGAGCGCGCGCGCAGGAGGGCGAAGGCCCAGGTGAAGGCGGCGAGGGAGAAGCAGGTGGGGTCGGGGAAGAGGTTGGGGTTGGGCAGCACGATGGCGTCCAGCGCTGCTTGGTGCTCCGCCGCTATGTACTCCGCGTACTGCTGCTGCAACGCCAACACCTGCGCGCCTGGGGGTGCGCAAAAAGTGTTGGGAGGCGTGGGTGGAAGTGCGGGCGGGGCGCAGGGGAAAGTGCGGGGGGGGAGGGAGTGTGGGGGGGGGGCGTAGGGGAGTGCGGACGACGAGAGACATTTGGGGATGTGAGGAGTGAAGGGTTGGGTTGGGCGAGGGGGAATTGGGCTGTTAATGACTGCACAACAGTGCTGGGTCATATGGAGTGTGGCGTGGAGCAAGGGGGAGGAAGGCGGGAAATAGCAGAAGGAAACAGAAGAGAGAACGAGGTACAGGAGGAGAGGTGGCAACAGCACGAACAGTGATGAGATGAGATGACACACGAGGGCGAGGGCGAGAAAGAGGACTGCCAGCCAGCTGACACAAGAGGACGCCTCGAAAAACAGGATGCGAGGCTAACTTGTGAGTTGTTAAAGTGAGTGTAAGTGGATAGGACGTGGCGGGTGGGTGGGTGGGTGGGTGGAGGTGTGGTAAGGGAGAAGGCAAGGCAAGGCAAGGCAAGGCAAGGCAAGGCAGGCATTACCTTCCAGCATCTTGAGCTCCTCTTCGGACCTGCAGCGGGCGAGAATGGGCAGCGAGAAGAGACAATGTGATGAGCGGAGAGCGAGAAAGAAAGAAAGAAAGCAAGGACTGCTGGAGTGGGGAGAGGAAAGCGCAGAGGTGGCTTTTGAGTCGACTCAGAGGTGAAACATTACTCCGTTGAGTACGAGAGGAGCGCAGGAAGGGACAGGGCAGGGCAGGGCAGCGGGGTAGCAGCAGTACCAGAGGAGCGGCGAGTTGAGCGTGGCGGGGAGCGTGTCGAAGTATGGCGCCCACTCGGAGTTGGGGTTGCCCCGCTCGCGGATTATGAACAGCGCCAACGCCACCCACGGCCTGCGCGCGGGGAGACGGACCCGGGGAGGGGAGCGGGGACGGGTGGTGCGGTGGAAAGGGAGAGGAGCGAAGGTGGAGAGGGGGGAACAAACAGCAGGGAAGGGGGGAGAATAACGTGCAGGAGAGGACGATGTGGGGGGGACTTATGCGGGAGGAGGGAGGGACGCTGTGAGCTTTCCCGCAACCGGGGAGGAGAGAGGGAAGGAGTATGATGGGAGTTCATGGCGGAAGATTAGAGGCTTTGAGCATGTGACGCACACACAAGGGCAGAGCCGCAGAGCACGTCTCATGGGTTGCATTGCACGCGATGGACTAGTGCAGCTCGCTAGCCGCTGCATTCTACGGACTTGATTCAACTAGATCGAGCAGATACGACAACAAGGAGGAGAATCGACATGGTTCAAGCTGCGCGCGATGATGAATAGGAATACTACTGACGGCCCGCGCGAGCCGCCGTACCTGACGTCGCCGCACACGGCGCCAATGTCGGTCTTAAGGACCTTGTCCAGGGTCAGGCACGCGCTTAGCGGCACCAACAACAAATCGTCACCCGACCGAATGTCCCGGTCGGCCACGAGCGCTAGTCGCGGCTGGCCGTCAGCCGCCGTCAAAACTGCCGGCTTGACGGCAGACGGCAAATCCTTGTCGCCAACCCCTTGATCCACCAGCCATTTCCAGAAGCGCTCCGCTTTGGCTTCTAGCTGCTCCTTGGTCTCCGCGGCCGCGGTCGCCGCCGCCGCCGCTGCGATGGGCAGCGCGCGGGGAGATACTCCCTTGCGCGAGCGCGATCGCGATCGGCAGTGCGCGGCAGCGAGAGAGGATGACTGGAGAGCGGGTGCTTTAAGGATAAGCGGCAAAAAGGATGAGTTTAACTCGGCAGATGCACGAGTGGACGGACGGATCGGTCCCGCTCTGGCTTGCACTGAAGGTCGTGGTTGCTTGGGTTGCAATGACGGTGGCGCGCTTAGGCCAACTATGTGCGAGATCGAATGCGATGCGACCGCCATGGCGGAGGATCTCCCTTGTTGGTTTCTGAGCGAGGGGAATGGATATGGCTGCCAAAGGCAGCTCCACGTGGCGTGTGTGGTTGCTTGGGTGTAGCGCACACTGCAGTTGTGGAATGAAAGGGGAGGGAGAGAAGGGTGAGAACGAAGTGAATTGGAACGAGAGGTATGAGGTGGCACAATGGGGTGAAGCGTGGTGGTGAGACATGCATGAATGTGACGCTAAACAATGATACTCGTCACCACTTTCCTCGACAATATTCTGGTCTAGAAGGGGTTGTGAATACATAAAGCAGTTACCTGGAATCTGTCAAAATGACAGGAACAAAGTCCCTTGACTTTGAGCCGACAAGGCAAGGTGTCTGGAGGAGTGACAAATCTTTCAAATTGTAGCGAGATTGCCACCAACGCGGTATACTTTTCCCAGATTTCGGTGGTCGAGAGTCCGCATGTACCCTCGAGGTCGTTCCTATAGCGGGAGGAAGTGTCTCGAAGATTTCACTCCGCTTGGTGACATTCCCGAGGTCCAGGTGTCCCCGGCTCCTCCAATCCAGCCTCCATCCATTCCCCATTCTACAACCAGGTTGGTCAGGCGGACCAGCACATTCGGAAATACAGCGTACGGGAACAACCCGTATGTACGTGTACTTGGTCGCCCCATAGCCTGTCTCCATCATTCGAGTTCACGTTCATGCGGCTGAATGCGATGTTGTGCGTTCTAGAGCGGCTCTTTTGCATTTTCCGTACGAACCGGTGTGAAGGTTTCAGGAACAACCGCGGCAGTCAGGTCATGACTCAGGGGTGGTCATCTCACAAGCGATCACCACCACCATCCATCGTTCCCCTTGTTTACTCATTCATGTCACTCCTTGGGATTCTCTCCAGCCCCATCGATTTTTGCTGCGACCACGTTTCACTCTTGCTTGCTGGTTCTCGTTCTTGTTTGGTCAAGAGCTAGTTCAGCTGGTTCAGCCAGATTTAGGCGCTCCTCGTTTCCAGGTTCGGTATATATAGGGGGTTAAGTACGTTAGCTTTTGTGAGTCGATGTACTTTTTTGTGTTCGTCATCGGTTGCTGGGTTGATGAGGTTGCATGTTGAAGAACTTGGTGATTAGATCTGAGGAGGCCATTTTTCCTTACTTTTCGTGATCTTAGAGTCGAGACGCAACCTTCAGTAAATCTAGCAGGCTGTGTACCTATTCCGCATATTCGGCTCCACATCCTAGTCATTGTCCCTCTGTCATCCTGGATCTGGTTATTATATGAAGCGCAGCTATCTTTATGGAGATACAGCAGCTTTCCCAACGATCGCCAACACGTCTTGTTCTTGGTACGTAAGTCTGGGTACTCAAATCCCTTCGCGCGTGTAATTTTTCCGTTCCTGTCAAAAGTTGTGATGGCCGTCGACCATAGTTCGGCCATAGTTTTCAGCAGTTGAAACGGCTTGGCAACCAGACTACTACCATAAAGTCCTTAAACTTGCGGGGAATCTGGCCTTCTGACTAAGTCATCCGCACAGCGTTTGTTTCACCGCGCAAAACCCCGTGAAGTAACTTAATCCACCATCTTGTTCCCCTTTCCTGATCCTGCATGTAAGCGTCACGTACGAGTTTGTACTATTGACTGGCCTCTCTGACCCCTTTTCAGGGATTCAGTAGATGTAACTTTATTGCGTCGCCTCCTATTTCATGCGAATGTCTCAGAGTCTGCGTATTGACTGTTTTTGCTTCACCCCTTTCTGCATCCTTCAGGCCAACCCAGTGATTAAGCCCGAGTTTTAGTACCTGGTCGGATCTGGGGCGAAGGGTAACCATACAGTGTCATGGGCGGTACATCGGACGAGTGGAACCGCAGGTGGTGGGAGGAGGACGGCGACGACGATAGCTGGACAACTGGAGCATCCGCACCCGCCGCACCCTCCGCGCCCTCCGCACCCTGCGCGCAAGACAACGACAGGCGGGAAGAGGTCGCAGCGGCCAGCGAGAACAGTTGCAGCAGGGAAAGCATTGGGGAGATTTCGAGATTTAGGGGTTCTGGGGAGGGTTCCGAGGAAGGTCAAGAGATGGTCGTTCTTCGCGAGGACGACGGCAGCCGGTGGGACGCGGAAGCGGAGTCTCGCGTGCCGCTCCTGGGCTCCAGTGGTCCCACGAGCGGGGTGCGCGAGAGAGCAGCAGCCGCAGCAGCAGCGGCAGCAGGTGGCTGGTGGGGCCGGGCGGCTGTCAGTCAAGCCTCTGATAGAAGAGTGCCGGATTCGGAGCAGTCAGGCGGTAATCGGAATATGAGTGATCTGCTTGGTAGTGATGGTCGGGGGGCTGGGGTTGGAGATGGGGAAGGTGCGGAAGCGCGAGAAGGGGAGGGATCAGAGGGCGGGATGCGCAGAAGACGGCCGTGGAAGTACGAGGAGCGGGCGACGGGGGATGTTGAATTCAAGGAAGACCTGCGCTCGTGGGCGTTCAGTAACGGGGAGAGCTTGGCGAAGCCGCAGCACCCGGAGGCTGTGAGCGGGACCGGCGCGGGGAGTGCGGATGAGCAGGCGGACGCAGGGGCGGGGGGGAATGGCGGAGGATCGTTGGCGGAGTCTCGGCTGGGGGAACGTTGGGGCGATGTGGAGCTGATGGCGCGGGAGGTAGTAGCCTTTGCTTCGGATAGAGAGGAAGGATCGGCAGGGGACAGGGAAGGATCTGCAGAGGCACAGGGGTCCGGAGAGAAAGAGGGGTTGGATAGGCCGGTTGAACGGGAAAGCTCAGGAACACAAGGTGGTGGTGGATGTAATGGTGGTGAGGGTGAAGGTGTAGGGGAATCAGTGGTGGAGTGTGTGTCTGGTGCCACCGGTGCTCGACCTGTTTCTGCCTACGGCAATGCCACATTCTCCTCCTCGGGCTCCTCGCTCAATCTAAGACCTAATGGCGGAATGAAGATCACTGGGCGCCCTAGCACTAGCAAAACGTTTCCCATCCCCATCCCCGCGCCAGCAACGACCAGCAGCAGCACTTCCGACTCCCCTTACTCGAGCACCAGCACCAGCACCACCATCGCAAGCACGCCGTCCTATGCAACCCGAGGAGCAGCAGCGTCATCAGCACTATCATCAGCATCAGCAGTGGCAGAAGCAACGGCGCGGGCATCAGGGCTGGACGAGCTAATGGAGCTGGGCGCATATGACGACCTGGACTTGCACTCAGTCATGGCGCTCTCAGACCTCGTGCGCCATGCCCCCTCCTCCGCCTCTTCCGCCTCCTCCTCGTCTGCTCTTAAACCCATGGGGCATGCGGGGATTGGGCAGTCGGCGTCAGCGTCAGCAGCGGGGGTGTATAATCGCCGTGTGGACAGGCAGATCCCTCGCGCAGCAGTTGTCGCGCTTCAGGCTGCTGCCGCTGCCAAGACCAGTGAGTGCAACAGATCCCTGTCATTTCTTTCTCGCTGCTCACTTTTTTCTCTCTCTCTCCCCTTGTCCCTCTCCCTTCCATCGCGCCGTCTTCTTGAAGTCCCTCCCTCCTGCTTGTGATTTCTTACAAACTGTTCCTCATTTCCATCCCACTGCATGCTCTTTGACGATTTATATGGCTTTCCATCTGCTAAACCGCTGGTCTCCCTCCATCTCTTGGCCCTTCCCTTGGGCCTCTGACAGGCTGGCCGCTCAACCTGCAAGCTCGGTCGGGTCTGCACTTCCCCCCGCCGCCCCATCTGGGCACGGCGACGAACGCGTGTGACAAGTGCAGCCTGCGCTTCTTCTCACCGCTCAACCACCGCCGCCACATCCGCGTGCACCGCAAGATGCTGCGCACAGACAAGGTGCGTGCTGAGAGTTGAAGGTTACGTGCCTTTGAAAGTGCTCAGCAGTCGCTTGCTCTGTACCTTGAGTCGTACTCAGTGTTTTTTCATGTTGCGTGCGCGTGAGTGTCTGTGTGTTTTTTGCTTCTTTCTTCCTTCGTTTGTTGGTTCTCTTATCCTCCTTCCTTACTGTTACATGTCACTGGTTGTTGTGTGTGCAGGTTGACCTGAGGGGCATCCGAGGGGACCTTGCTCTCTTCTTGAACAAGGTAACGGCAGGTCCACTCAACCCTCCACTCCACTCAACCCTCTCCAGTTCGACCAGTCTTTGTTTCGAAATGTTTGTTCGGCCCTCTTGCTCCTCTTGCAGCGCATTGTGACACCTGGTTCTCATGTCAACACGTTTCTTCTCTCCTCTGCACTGTCGTTGTCCGTGCAGCTGGGAATGCCAGCAGTTCTCGACCACATATCGCTGCAGGCCCTCTCTGTGGAGGTACGCCCCTTTTGCTGCTAGCTCACTTTTTTTACACCACGTGCATCCTCGATACTCCCCCTATGCTCCCTCTCACGCGATGGCCGTGCTTCCTTGCTGTTATTCTTCCTTTGCGCCCCCTTGACTGTTCTCTTGTTCTTCCCTCCACCCCCTTCCTCGTGCTCCCCCTCCTCCCCCCTTCCCTTCCCCACCCCCCTTTTTTTTGGCGGCTGGTCTGTTTCCAATGGCACACAGGGCATTCAACTGGTGGACCGGCTGTCCTCTCTGGTGGACAACCATCGCTTCCCCTTTGTCTCGCCCATCGCACCGCCACTCCCACCCTACCTCAAGCTCGGCCCGGACCTCGTTGTACGAGCCTCTCCCTCTCTCCAACACACGTGCACCATGTTCCAACACTGGCCAGTCGCTTGTGCTGCTGCTGAAATTCGACTCCTTGCGATATGTTCGCCCATGTGTCATCAATCCACAAGCGTCCATTTGCCGTTTCCATTTCACCCCCCTCGCAAGCAACCCCTCTCGCTCTCTTGCACCCTCCCACATCCTTCTCACCCCTTGCCACGCTCCAGCGTACCCGTTCCACACACTCGTACAACCATGTTTTCTCTCCCTCATCTGCCCGCCTACCTTGTCCCCAACTTGGGATGTCAAACAGTTAATTACTTCCTAAGGCCAGCAGCTGTGCTAACCTGGATTTCTGACGCTCTTCTAAGTTTCCTCTACCTCACTCGCTCTCGCTTCCCCTTCCCTCCCAATCCTCGCCTTACTCCTCCCCCCAGGCGGTGGTGTTGAACAAGCAGCTGCTGTCAGAGGACGACCTCTTCGCCATGCTGGACGCGGCGAGTGAGAACACGTTTCTGCACGGGGGCACGTCCCCCGCCGTGCACCGCTTCGTCTTCCAGCCCACTGCCACGGGCAACAGCAGCAGCACCGGTGGTGGGGTTGGTGGCGCGGGCGGTGGCAGCAGCGGGAGGATCAAAGTGATGCGCCTGCATGATAAGGACTTGGTGGCCGCGCTTGCGTTCCTGCTTGAACAGAAGCTGGTGAGTGTGTACGACTGGTGACAATCCATGAAGCGTTTCTTTCTTGCTTTTCCCACTTCTTTCTCGCTTACCCTCCTCCCCCCCCGCCCCTTCTCCTTTCCACCCACTATCCTCCTTCCTGTCAACTCCTCCTCCCGTCGTCCGCTTTTTTCAGTAGAGAAACTTATATTTGATGTGACAAAAACCCTGTCGTTAGCAACAGAATCGCCCCATACTCCTGCAGGAAGCTATGCCAGTGTGTGACAACCGCTGCTGCTAGAAGTCCACACTCACTGCTCTTTCTCCCTCTCCCTCTCCCTCTCCCCCGCGTGCTGCTCAGGTGGATGCATACATGGCAGCGCGAGAGGCAGCAGCACTCAAGCAGCAGCACTTGCTGGTGGAGGAGGAAGCAGCTGCCATGCACAAGTAAGGTCCTCCCTCGCCTGCTTTGCCCGTCTAGTCAGTCGGTGGTTTCCGCCTCTACTGACTCCCCCTTATGCCAGTTCGTGCTGTTTTTGCTCCGTTCCTCTGCCTCTCCTCTTCCATCACCCCCCTTGCGTTTGTCAATCCTCGAGGCCCTCCCTCCCATGCGCTAGTTGTGGTTGCGTTCTTCGTCTCTGCTCGTCAAACACTTGCTTTTACCATTGACACGACGCAGCGACGCCATCTTTATACCTCTGTATGTTTGGGGCAACAAGCATCAGCCGCCCTTTGCTTCACGTACTGACGGTCCTGTTCCATTGCTTGCTGTCTCCTTCCCCCATCCACTGGCAGGCGGGCGCGTCTTCAGCAGCGTAGACGAAAGAAACGGCAGAGGCAGAAGGGAGGAGGCAAAACAGCAGACAAGGTGGGGCAGCAGGGTTCCAGAGGTGACCGTGGTGTGGGGGTGACAGGCAGTGATGAGACTTGGAGGAAAGATGATGACTCGGAGATGAGAGGAGGAGGAAGAGGAGGAGGAAGAAGAGGAAGAAGCGGAGGAGGAGGAGGAGGAGGAGGAGGAGGAGGAAGAGGAGGAGGAGGAGGAGGAGGAGGAAGAGGAGGAGGAGGAGGAGGTCGGGGAAGAGGATGGGAGAGAGGAAGAGGAGGGAGAAGAGGAGGAAGACGAGGCAAAGAAGGAGCCGCAGCAGCAGCAGCAGCAGCGGCAGCAGCGGCAGCAGCAGCAGCAGCAGCAGCAGCAAGGAGGGGGGGACAGCAGTTCCGATGGGCTGTCATCAGAGTCTCTCGACTCTCCCAAGGGCGCTAGAGTGCACCCAGCACCCATGCCCGCTGCAGACAGTGCGGACGGCGTGAAAGGCAAGGAGCGAGAGCGAGAGCAGCAAACAGGCGAGAGGAGAGAGGGAGCAGGCGCAGGGAGCGCTGTCACAGAAGGGACTCGTGGTGCTGCTCGTGCCACACAGGGCAGACCAGAAGGAAGCTCCGTTTCCGCTGGTTTTAGAGCCACGGACCCAGGAAGGAGTCTTGATTTGTCGAATGCCAGGGGTGCACCTGCAGGGACGGGTGGCGCAGGAGAAGTGACAGGCTCGGGTGCGGGTTCAGGTTCAGGTTCGCCTGCAGGAGTAGGTTCGTCTGGTGCAAGGATGGGAGGAGCGGGAGGCAGGAGGGGTCGTGGCAAGGGGGGGCAAGGTGGGGGCGGTGAGCGGGGGGAGCAGGGCAGGGGGCGGCAGCAGCGCGGGGCAGGGGGTGGGGGTGGGAAGAGAGAAGCCGTGGGGCCTTATGTTGGGATGGCGCTAGACACAAGCGCCGCTGCTGGCAGTGCTGCTGCTGCTCTTGAGAACGCCGCTGCTGCTAGGGGGGCGCTGCAGGGGAGGGAGGCGGAGGTAAGTGGGGGAGAGACTCAGCAGAGCTGTGTGTCCAGGGTCGTTTCAGCTCCTACCCCTGCTCCTGCCCCTACCCCTTCTTCTGCTTACAAGGCTGAGTCAGGGCACTCTGGACGGGGGTCGGGCGATGGGAGAAGGGAAAGAGGGGGCTCGGGCAGTGCTAAGGAGAGAGATGCAAAAGCTGCACCAGTGGCAGCAACAGTAGCAAGTGCAGAATCAGCAGCAGTGGCAGCAGCAGCAGTACCAGCTGTAGCGATTGCAGTAGCAGCACCTGTAGCAACAGCAGTAGCAGCACCTGTAGCAACAGCAGTAGCAGCACCTGTAGCAACAGCAGTAGCACCAGTTGCAGCAGTAGCAGCAGCAGCAGTAGCACCAGTAGCAGTAGCACCAGTAGCAGTAGCACCAGTAGCAGTAGCAGCAGCGCCATCACCAGTAGCAGTAGCAGCAGCACCATCACCAGTGGCACCATCACCAGTAGAAGCAGCACCAGAGGCACCAGTTGCAGAAGCAACAGCAGCAGCAACAGAGGCGAGCAGGAAAACGGCTGTAGAGGGATCTCTGAGGCAGCTCCTGCAGCTCGACCCCCCTCCCACCACCTCTGCTGCTCCGAACAGTGCTCCTGCTGTGGGCGATGCTGCTGCTAGTGCTAAGGCAAGAGTGGTCGTGATAGGAAGCATGGTGGTTCCCCTGGTAGGGGAGGCCACTCCTTCCAACGCTCCTTCCAACGCCTTCACGGCCAATGGTTTGCAGCAGCAGGCAATGAGTCACGAGCAGCAGCAACAGGAGCAACACCAACAGCAAAAGCAGACGAAGGTAGCAGCAGCAGCAGCAGCAGCAGGAGGACCGAGCAGAGGTTTCACTGCTGGCTGCCGCGTCACAGACTGATCCCGATGCACATCTGAGGGCTGCTCTGCTGCATGCCTTGCGCCTCATGAACAACCGTACGCCCCTCTTGCCCTCTCCCCCACTCGATTATCTCTCTTTTTTTGCCGACTCTTCCCTACTCCTGACCTTCAGGAATTTGCCACCCACCCTCCCACCCTGCTCCCTCGCTCCATACTTGGCAATTTTCTTCTTTCTGTGGTTCCATCCTCATGGGTTCTTTTCGTCTCTCCTGTCTTTCCTGCTAAAACTTTCTCCTGTCCTCCAAATGGTACTCTCTGCTGTTCTCTCTTCCACACTCATGCCGTGTACTGTATCTTCCCCTCCCTCCCCTCCAACTCACAGGCTGGGATGCCGCCATGTCATCCCCGGACACCACCATCTTGCACCACAGCATGTCTTCTCCCGTTGCCCCACCTGCTGCCAGCACTGCGTTCCTAGACCGACTCTGGTCCCAGCTCAACCGCCCTCCCTCCCCTGCTGCAGCTTCCTCGGCTAACCACACGGGCACCAGCGACGCCACCAGCAGCACCTGCATTAATCTCAGCAGCAATATCAACAGCGATGAGCCTGCTGTCAGCAGCAGTGTCAGCTGCAGGGATGATGGGGATAATGGTACCAGCAGGAGCACCAGTAGCAGCCAGGTAGTGTCTGGTATGGAATTGCAGCGGGGTGCGAACTCTGTAGAGGGGGAAGGGACTGCAGTTGGGACACTTGCTTCTGTAGCTGGTGCTGCTCCTGGTGCTGATGCTGCCAGTGCAGCTGTGGGCTCAAAAGCAGTTGCCAATGGCACTGCATCTATGAATGGTGCAACTGATGCTGGTGCAGTTGCTGCAGCCAACCTGCCTGCTGCCCGTGCTGCTGCCACTGCCACTGCCAGTGCTGCCGCTAGTGCATCTCCTGCTGATGGGGCTTTGTTGTCTGGTGGTGCAAGTGACGGAATTGGAAAACGTGTTGTGGCAGCTGTTGATGGGGGTGCTGGCGGAAGTGCTGGTGGTGGTGGGAGTGTTGGTGGTGGGAGTGCTGCTGCTGCTGCTGCTGCTGCTGCTGCTGCTGTTGTTGGCTCGCAAGCACGTTCGTCTAGCCGCAGGGAGTCGAGGGCAAGAGGCAAGAAGGGGGGGAGGTGATCACGGTGACACTGCTGTTATTGCGGGGTGATGGTTCTGGTGGTGATGATGGTGATGATGGTGCTGCCAGTGGGAAGTGGTGATGTTGGCAGTAACAGAGGTGGAGGCACTGGAGCAGCTGAAGGGGGCAGGGGTCCTTATGGTAATTCAGCAATGTTGTTACGGAACGAGTTCTTTTGGGGCATCCGAAACCGCTAAACCTCTTGACGCTCCTCTGCTCCTGTACGTGGTGAAGTGCCGGACAAGCCATGGATGGATCAAAGTGATGGATCGATCACTGAAGCAGCCTGCTTTGAAGTTGTGGATCAGTGGAGCAGCCATGAGGTGATGGGTCAGAGTGCCAGATGGGAGGGTGCAGGCGCTGCTGCTGCCACCTGCTCCCAGCTGTTGCCGACCCTCTTGTACGGGAATTCAGCTGCCACTCTCATGGCTCCTCTCCCTAGTGCTCTCCCTCTCCCTCACTCCCATTCTCTTTCACTCCCGCTGTCTCGTACTCGCGCTTTCCTGTCCCTTTCCCGTACACTCATGCACGTTTGCAGTCTTGCAGACACACATACACAAGGTGCCCATTCCTTCTCGGTTATTCCAGCAAACTTTTATCCCCACTCCCCTTCTGCTTGCCGCATGTCTCCATATCCTCACGCCAAGTCTGCACAGTCACACATATTCCAACTCATTCAAGCCAAACTCCCGCATTCATGCCCCAGGGGCCCCGGAGTAGCCCTCACACACATACACACAGCAGCACGCACCACCAGACTTGCACGGTATTCAGACCTACCGGTACACCCATTTTGGTACCCCCACTGCACTAGTCTATCTCATGATCTGCATGCAACCTCCCGCCCTCCCGCACGGTCATCCACATCTTCCAGTCAACCGCCCTCATTCCTCAGGCACACAGGCATTCATTGCACACGGACACAAACCCATCCCACAGACTTACCGTATCCTGCACAATGACTGCAAACATGCACAGAAGCTGGCTCACACCTCACCTCACATGCTCAAGCGTCGGTTCAGCCAACACAGAGTATGGAGTAGTACTTTCATTCTTGGGTATGCCGCGGCAGGTCCCACATCAGTCGCTGGTGTAGCAGGTTCTTTCCCAGTTTTGTCCCATAGCATCATTCGTTGGAGGTTGTGGAGTTAGCATAGCAATACAAGCATGCGTCCCATCTTATCCAATCATCTGAAAGGAGACTCGATGTGTTGTACCGTATCTCTATATTGACGAACTCAAATGTGTTGTGGAAATGTCAAGGCCAAGTCCAACTGACGGGTGGACAATATGGAGCAGTGAATGAATAATGGAAGCCAAAACCTGTCCCTTGGAACCGCCACACAACGCGCGGATCCTTGCCTCACAATGACCAAAGTAGTAAAATAGGTGTACACTGGCAATGACAAGTGTAAACACAAGGTCCCTTAAGAATCTTTTACAGGCATTCTGAGTGTGGCAGACTTGGATGGAGATGGGTGTGGTTGAGTACCATATCTTTCCACAACATTAGTATTTGAATTGCTCCCTGCTCCCTGGATCTTATGCCAACAAAGCCTCCACTTCACTTAGTGTGTCCCTGCTAGACTTGGTCCAAAAGATGGAACCCCAGCCGCTTCCATGTGATGTTGCCTGGTGACTTGTAGAATCTACGTGCTACCGTATTACAGTACCGGATTATGCAGCATGGCTGACGTGCCTGCGGTTATGGCGCTTGTCACAGCAGCTTGTGGTGTCAGGTTTTGTACGACATTCTGCTCTCTCGTACTATGGCCATTGCTGTGCTGCAGACTTTGTGTGAAGTATGGACACCCCCCACTCTCTGCCATGGTGCATGTCATGTGCCCTCACCACCGTTACTTGTGTGTGAGAGAGTTTGCGTCTGCTCCCTGCCACCGTCTCATGCACCCCATCACCATGCGTGTGCCTGGCATTCTATCTGCACCGTACTCACCTAGTGCCACAAACGAGGGCTTGGCCAGTAGCACAGCAACCAAATCCTCCTCATGCCACAGCACAGCACACCATCGGCATCGGGCGTGTCGCTTTGGCATGGCACAGTACCGTACCTGTTGGATGACTGTCTGTCCTGCTTGGATGTTTTTGCCCAGGCGCCTTCAAGGCTTCCCTCCCACCCCTCCCACCTATTCTACAACAGGCAGGCCCATCCCAGCAGAGCACAGCACAGAGCGGCGCAGCAAACCTAACCACAGCACGCCAAAGCAAAGATAAGCACAGCTAAGCACATCTAAAGACAGTTAAGGAGAGCGAAGCACGGCGAAGCGAAGCACAGAGGCGCCGCTTGTTGAACTCTTGGTAGCCCACCACCCCACCGTGCGAGACACCCACACCACATGTCCTCTACCTCGCCCTGCACTTGGTGATACAGAAGAGAGGAGCCACTCACACAGAAAAGCTGCCAACGAGACAGCAATAGGATATGGATAGGAAGGAAAAGAAAGAGGAGGAGCCACTTAGAAGCTGCAGAAGTAAAGAGGTGATGATCAGACGGCAAAGATTACGGTAGTTGTGTGTTGTATTCACATCAGATTGTCAATGAAAGTCGAGCACTAAGTGAAAAAAAAAAGTACGATAACAGGGTTTGGAACTCCCCATTGCAGAATCGGCCATCACACCTACCATAGAATAAGCAGCACTGCTGGTGCTGCCACTGCTTCCCCCATGGATGCTGCCAGAGACAGCAATGGGACATGGAGAGGGGCGAAAAATGAAGGCCACAAGTTGTTGCAAGTCGCAACAACAACAGGATACAAGGACATGGATGAAGGGAGAGGCGGGGGAGGCGAGGGCACCATAATATCAGGATACAGAAAGATTGGAGGGAGGGCTGAGGAGAAGGATGATGGGAAACGAGTAAGGTACTGGAGACTAGGAAAAGGATGCAAGCGACGTTTAACAACAAACATATAGAGGGAGCATAGGGGAGACTGCAATTACCCCTCCATTGCTGCAGCTGCAACCACTGCAGGCTGACACTGCAACTACTGCTGCCACCACCGCTGCTGCTGCTGCATCCACTGCCCCCTCGAGTGATGGAGAGAGGGGAGGAAGGATGGCAAAGACGAGAAAGAGAGGCGTGAGAGCAAGGAGAGGAGAAACGAGTTGACGAAAGACTGAGGATGAAAAAAGATAACTGACATGCCAGTAGATGGCAGATGGAAGCTGGAAAAGGGACTGAGACGAGAAGCAACGATGCATTCGCCCTGCTGCTGCATCTTCACTCTTGGTTACCTCTTGTCTTGGAGAAGAAAGGAACAGGAGGCAGCTTGTTGTCCCCGCCTCTGCGCGGCGACACTCTACGACTCACTTCACGGCCCCCCTGCAAGCACCCCCTGGCACGTACCACGCTCCGTCCGCTGCTCTCCCACTCCTGCGTCACGCCTCACTTCACACGTCCACGTGCTGCCATTGCTCTCCGTCTCGCAGGACATGAGGCACACACACACACAAACGGGGGAGAGAAAGGAATCACGCACACATGGGGAGAGAGAGGAATCACGCACACATGGGGAGAGAGAGACACAAACACATGGGGAGAGAGAGGGATCACGCACACATGGGGAGAGAGAGACACACACACATGGGGAGAGAGAGACACACACAGAAGCAGCGCAATAAAGGAGGGTCAGAAGCAGCAGGTGGCAAGGGATGGACCCGCAAGCAACAGACACGACTCTTGCCTCTGCGCGGCGACGCTCTACGACTGAGTTCACGGCCCCCCTGCAAGCACCCCCTGGCACGTACCACGCTCCGTCTGCCGCTTTGCCACTCGCCCGCCCTGCCTGCTGCACCACGCCTGCGTGCTGCTCCATGCTGCTCAGTTGCTGCTGCGCCAAGCCTTCGCCCCAAGCAGCGCCCAGCTGCTGCCCGCGCTCCCGGACGCTCGTCGTCCGCTGCTGCTGCAGTTGTTGCTCTCGTCGCGACCACCATCGCGCCGCTGCAGAGAAGAGGAGAGGACAGGAGAGGAGGGGTTTGGGAGTTGAGAAGAGTGGCATGAACACATGGCAGCACAGCACAGCTGCAAACACTGAAGGGCACCGTGGAAAAATGGTAGACAAAAGAGCAGGAGAACAGAGAGCAGGAACACGGTGAAAAGTGAAGTGTAAACTGTCTTGCTTGATCCACTCACAACTTGCTGTGTGCTCGCCATAACGATGCAGACGCTGCGGCCACTGATGATCCCTGAGTTGCTGCAACCACTGCCCCTTTGAGTGCTGGAGGTGAGGGGAGAAGGGATGGCAAGGAAGAGGAAGAGAGGCGTGAGGATGTGAAAGAGCAAAAAAAGCTGGAGAAGGGACTAGGACAAAAAGCAACGCACGGTGCATTCGCCCTGCTGCTGCATCTTCACTC